GTGAGGCCTTGTAAGTGCCAGTGTAAACATGGTTCTTCTTGCAAAGAAAACAACCAAAAAAGAAAAACGTGCTCCGACTGAAATTATTTGTACAGGCGGAAAGTTCTAGGATGATTTGGATGCTTAGTAGAGCATGGAAATCTATTTCAAATCTGAAGGAGACGAGTTACTGTCTTTGACAGCAATGGCATTAATATGTAAGATAAAATCAAGCTGATGTAAAAGTCACCAACATCACCAGCTTCATTTGGTGTTATAGCTTTTCATCATGCATGTAAAACCCCAGGACATCATTTCATGTAAGGTTACACACAGTGACACAGCAGAAAAACTCTTGTCTAGCTTATTGACTAAAGCTCTAATTGGTGTCATGGACTCAGTCATTCCAGCGCTGACTCAAAGCAGCATGAGGAAGCAGGGCAGCGACTAGTGATTCTATTATATGCCATTGATTCATTTATGTATTACTTCCCGAGGCTGAAAATGATGTGTTTCTCTACACTCCAGAACCCAAAGATATTCAATTTACAATGATTTTACACAAAGAAAAAGTCCTCCCATTTGAGATAGTGGCACCATTTAAGGCCTAATAAATAACCTTAATAATGGTTAATAGATGGAATATATGCATGTATCCCATGTCTATTAAGTCTTGCACAGCACATTGAGAATGACACGGTGTTACACCCATAAACTGACACTGAGAGAGTTTGAATCGGACAAGAAAGGAGTCTGAGAGTAAAATAAAGTTACCGATAAAAATTCGACTTCCCTGCAATTGCTCACCGCTTAGATTGTGAACGATTTTGGAACGGCTTGATCAAAGAGTGAAATGATAATCCCAAGTAGGCGTGGTTCTGGACATGCGGAGGTAATTCCAAGGAACCCTGCCCTCCGGATCCGAGGAATCCAGTTTCATATTTCGCCGCATGCCCTGTTGGCCATCAGCAAAAACATGAACATCAACTTCAGATGACAGCAGGCTAAAACTGGTGGATATCAAAACTCCCGAACTGGCGAGGAGGTCGGCCGCGGTGTCCACTTTCTACGATGTGAGTCCCGGGTTCAGACACCTCAGGGCGAGGAGACTTGCAGGCCGCGTAATGAGGATGGCATAAACACAGCTCCGGCTTTATGAGGCCAAAACGTTCACACTATTAATTCGATTCAGCCGCACGTGCTGCTCACGCCTCAGCCATACGTACATGGCTTTTGAGTGAAGACTAAAATGTATGCAATACACCATTTACACTTTGTTCTATAGAATGAAATTAAAATCTCTGTGCACATGTATTGCATCTGATTGCATCATCAATCTCGGAACCCATTGGCTGTTGCTCTGAGGACAATTCAGCCTCTGGCGGCTGGTGTACATTGATTTAATGGTTCATTTTGTGAAATCCAAAGCTAAACCATCGTTAGGTGACAGCCGTGGGTTCCCAGACTGCAATTTGGCCAATGCATTCCACCTATTTGGCTCCCACCAGGTACGAACCAGAGCGTAGTAATAGTAATAATGCATTGCTGAATAAAAAAAGGAATATCGCTTTTATATTCAAGGTTACAAATCGTCTCAAAAATACAAATCTATTTTGCTGCATTCATGATGACAACATGATCTGATCAGCAATTAACTTTTGAGTCTGTCGCTTGTGCTGCAGTCGTATGTGATTGGCTGCATATCGGAGCCCACCTCCTCCCTGGAGAATTCCTTTCTTCTCCAAGGCATCACATGACTCCCTCCTGGCTCCGTCTGATGGTGGAATCTGAAATCCCTCAGTGACCTGACCGATCCCTGTTCACTTAATACTACAGTACATTCAATGGTCACAGCTTTGGCTTAAAGCTTCATCATGTAAACGTAACATAGCATGTAGAATAACATCACATTTAATCACATCTTACTTAAACACCATTGTGTTTAACTCACTTCTATATGGTCCAAAATCAGAATGTTTGCCTCGCTTTGCTCATTCACTACCTGACAGGAGAAAAACTCCCAAAAAAAACTCTTTGGGGAGAAAATTGTGAGAAATCCATAAAGGACAGGAATTAGCATCCGTCCGCAGGTTTTAACATCACATTGTGACAGGATATTAATGTTTACAGTAATTATATGACTTAAATTACTACAAATTGTGTTCGATTCATATTGCAATTATTTCATCTAACAAGCTAATGTAATAACTAACATCTGACATCACACAAACTACAATTCTAACACTAAACATTACTACATGTATTATAATTTCTACTACTAGGTGTGCTCAACTACTTAAATCCCTAACAACCTTAACCCCTCGTTTGTCTTTTGTTTATATGTTATTTGGAAAGAAAACTCCTGTGTCACGGTGTGGTTCACTTCCTGTCTTATTTTGTAGTTTTCTGCCACTCGTGTCCCCGGGTAACTTCACATCCTGCCTTGTCTCGTCATCCCCTGTGTTCGTCTAATAGTTTCCACCTGTGTCCAATCACCTGCACCTCCCTTGTGTATTTAAGCAGTGTGTCTCTTGTGTCACTTGTCGCGTCATTGTCTTTTGCCACGCATGTCCTGTTCTTGTCTTTCGCCCCCGTAGGTCCATGCTTGTGTGTTTTTGCCCCTTGGCCTTTTGGATTTTGGACCTTTTGATTATTAAAGTCTTTTGTTTTGGAAAAGTCTGCGTTTGAGTCCTGCCTTCCACCCTCAACCCTGACACTCCTGTATTAATATTGTAAGTCTGTAGAGTTTATGTAAAACCTCTTAAACCAGAGGCTTCTATGTGGCTCAACCTTTATAGACTCGTTCCAGCGTCTGAGACGCTGTCATCACCCGGCCAACAGAGCATACGTCAGACCCGCTCAAATGCCCCTATTTTAATTTGAGCAGAGTAGTTGGCACTGGAAGGATGTGATCCGAAGGAGCTGTTGACTAGGACCGCTGACCTTCTAAAAACTTTCAATTTATAACACACCCTCTCTCACACACACTCACGCTCATACATAAAGGATATGCGCACATGCATTCATTCACCAATCTAAGCCAGATGCAGACTTACAGAAATACACACACGCTTTGTAAATATTTCTATATCTTAGGGGAAAGCACTACTGCGATTACCTCACATCTGTAATCACTTAGGAAGGAACCTCCTTTTGTCTATTTTTAGAAAAACAAGCTGAAGAGGAAGAATTCCTCAAAGTGCTAAGAAACATTGACTTAAAAAGAAAAACATGTATTGTCTTTTCTACTCTCTGAGCATAAAACGGTAGATTGCTAACAGTTTTCGTATTATAATTTATTGTGATGTCAAAAAAAATGGAACGTTGTGAAGTAAAAATCATTGTTTTCATATTTTATCTTTTTAATCATGTTCAAATAAATGACTGAATTAATGCAGTTGTGCTATCGCAATTATCAAGTCATGATGATACAAATGGCAGTCAAATCCCACTGATCTTCACAACTTTTCATTCACCCTGAATAACACAGAGAAAGCAGATGTTTCCTTGGTGGGAGTGAAGCCAAAGTATCTCATTTCCATGGGGGTCTCCTGCATTCATAGACTGAGCCATTAATAACGAAGGGAGGTTCCTCGCTGTCAGCATTCATGCATCCTGCAAGGTTTATGGCATGTGCCTCCCAGGCTACGTCTCTTTACAGGCTGTCAGAATGCACGTACACGCATATCTATCTCAATGTGCAGATGTATGAATTGTATTAGAAGGCACAGCTGCCGGAGAACGACAAATATTGAATAAAGGATGAACAAAGGTGGCACAGGTGCCTGGATCTTGATAGATCAATGAAGCTTAGTATTTCCTTTTTTTCTGCAAGGGTCAAATGTCCATTCCTCTGCTTGTTTGTTAGTGTTTGTTTCCTTGGTTACAATCGAGGCCTGACACCTTGCCATGACCCACACAGCCATTTGTTGAAGGCTATGTGCTAACACATTAGCAGCAGGCGGCTTTGTGTCCTGGCACTGACATTTGACTCTGACATCCAACCCTTTGTTCAGTAATGGAAAAGGCCGAACGCACTGTGCTCCTCTGGGAAACCCATGCTTGTTAAACTGACAAACCAAAAAAAACAACCTCTGACATACAGTTTGCCGTGGCATGTTATACCCACCAGAATTGCCACGCATCAGCATAATAGTGCCAACTGTCCAGGTTGGTTTTAGCAACACTGATTATCGCCCTTGGGCTATTATTGTTTCACTACGGTGACTAAATTCCCCGATGCAGCTTTATGAAGGGATTGAAAGTGAAAAAAAGAAATTAGCTATGAATAGATCACAATGCTGCGATTACTTCACTCTGTAAACCCGGGCCACTTTTTATAAGCTTTTTATCATTCAATCTTCAATAGTAGTAATAGAAATGTTACACCTGTGACACTGGAGCTTGTGTTGTATGTCTATCTTGACTGCAGAGGATTTTGCGGGGACTGAAAAGGAACTTATACAAAGTGCTTGCAGCTGTTTGTTTTTGACACCTCAGCATCTGAGCGCCCCCCCCCACCGGGGCCAGCTTGTCTTCAAGGGGTCCCCATCTCCCAAGTTGTACAACTGAGCTCTTAAAGTGCTTTGAACAGTGGATGTGGCTTCCTGAAGATGCCACCTTCTCTGGTTTACTCCCTGAATCCCCCCCCCCCACCCCCCTTCTTCAAGGCATTCAGGTTATTTCATCTTATTTATTTCAGGACGCAATTTATGGAGCTATTCGACACTTTGGTTCATTCTCTTGCTTCTAAAAACCTTTGGCCCGTGACCCACGCGGTCTGGGTCCCCGAGGTTCCCCTTGTGACCAGAATAGCACCGTGATTTCATGAATGAGGGACCGGCCCGAGGCTGGAGACTTTTTGAGTGGACCGTGGATCTGGAAAGGGTATTTGGACCTTGTTCTGAATAAATCCAGACCGAAGGCTGTGATGCGGGGTATTGGTTTGCACATCAAGATGAAAAAGATTACACTTGTAAGGCAATCCATTCACTTGTACTGTAAATCACTCTGCTAGTGAAGCAAGCGAATGCGAGAGGGACAGCAGCAGCAGCAAATGTCATCTGGTCTTTCAACTTGGGGAGGGCTTTGGAGTTTAAAATGGTGTGAATATGATAGCCGTAGCCATCGGAATAGCTTAAGCAAGTGGAGATCTGTCTGCACCATTGAAAGTTGACAGTTCAGAGGCACTAATCTGACAAAGGACGGTGTAAATCAACAACCGCACACCGTTTTTGGATACAACACAAACCAAAACGCTTGGGGAGCTCGACAAAAAGGCACTTTTCTCTCGTGCGGCCGCATGAGACGAGGAAGTTGGGAGGACACCTCGGGCAAAAGGGCAAAAGGGGGGAGACACTGAGGAGGTGAGTGACGGATTTACCCTCGGAGGGGTAAAAAGATGACCGTGGTGTCCCAGGAGAACCACGACGACACTGTGGTCGTAACGCCTCTGCTGCAGGATGCTGTCGACGCGGAACCAGCGGACCAGGAGTGCACCGAGAGGGTGGTCATCAACATCTCGGGTCTGCGCTTCGAGACGCAGCTAAAGACCCTCTCCCGCTTCCCGGCCACGCTTTTGGGAGATCCGCGCAAACGGATGCGCTTCTTCGACCCGCTGAGAAACGAGTACTTCTTCGACAGGAACAGGCCGAGCTTCGATGCCGTCCTCTACTATTACCAGTCGGGGGGGCGGCTTCGGAGGCCCCTGAGTGTGCCGGTGGACATTTTCCTGGAGGAATTGCGGTTCTACGAACTCGACGAAGAGGTCATAGAGATGTTCCGCGAGGACGAGGGTCTGGCGCGGGAGGAGGACCGCCCGCTGCCGAACAACGTGTATCAGCGCCAGTTGTGGCTCCTGTTCGAGTACCCGGAGAGTTCGGGACCGGCGCGGATCAACGCCATTGTGTCAGTTATGGTTATTTTAATATCCATCATTATATTCTGCTTGGAGACTTTACCCGAGTTTAGAGAAGTCCCCGCAGTGCCGGCCAATCCCGCCAATGGAAGTGCTCACGGCCAAGAGCCCAGTCCGTTTACGGATCCGTTCTTCATGGTGGAGACACTTTGCATCGTGTGGTTCTCCTTTGAGTTCACCATGAGGTTCCTCTCCTGTCCCAGCAAAGCAGCTTTCTTTAAAAACATCATGAACCTGATCGACGTCGTGGCCATAGCTCCGTATTTCATCACCCTGGGCCTTGATCTCGCAGAGCACCAGGGCAGCAGTCAGCAGGCTGCGTCTCTGGCCATCCTGAGGGTCATCCGTCTGGTGCGCGTTTTCAGGATCTTTAAACTTTCCAGACACTCAAAGGGTCTCCAGATTCTCGGCCAAACGCTTCACGCAAGCCTCAGGGAGCTGGGACTTCTCATATTCTTCCTGATTATTGGAGTTGTTTTATTTTCCAGTTCGGTTTATTTTGCAGAAGCAGAAGACCCCGAGTCGGTATTCACAAGCATACCCGATGCGTTTTGGTGGGCCGTGGTGACAATGACCACGGTGGGGTACGGGGACATGTATCCCACCACCATCGGGGGGAAATTCGTTGGATCTCTGTGCGCCATCGCCGGAGTGCTAACCATCGCGTTGCCCGTCCCCGTCATAGTGTCAAACTTCAATTACTTCTACCACAGAGAGAACGAGGATGAAGAAAATGTCCTGTACGTGCACGTGACGTGCGGACAGCAGCAGCAGCCTTCCTCGAGGGAATGTGATTCAATCAAAAGTGACCAGTCGCCATCCAAAACGGAGTCATCTCAGGGGAGCGACGACTTGGAAGCTTTGACATATCCGAACATAACGCCGGTGGAGACATACGTAGCGAGACTGACAGATGTATAGAACCTTGGGATACCTGTTTCTTGTGAGTTGTCATTGGGTGGACATAACCAACAATTTAGGCTGCTTCGTGTCGGATGGTGCAGTTGTCGGTTTTTACGCAAGCTGTCTGTGGTGGTTCCTAAACTGGAGCGCTAGAACTTCATCCATACTCCCACTTCAAGAGGAGGGTTTGCTTTGATTCACTCCATGGCAAGTGAAAAGTAATAATCAATTAGGGAGCTGTTCACCAACGCGTAAAACGCACGAGTCCTCACAGGACAACATATGAGACGCTCCACGTGGAATATTTGAAACACAATCAGCAAAATTTGAATTTCACGATAACAAACTTCCAATCTTTGAAGGGAAAGTAAAACATTGAACGAAAAAATGTGTAGATGTTCTCTTATATATCTCTCATTTTAGGCAAACATGTCTATTTAAAAAGCTGGAGCTAACGCACGAACCCAACTTTGCCCTCCTATTTCTGAGAAGATCACACATCCTGTTCCTAAAGTCCAGACGTTCACGTAGAAGAGGAGAGGTAAGCCGTGCGTCAAAGGGCGCGCGGGACGCCACTGACCACCAGCGAACAGCAAACATCTCATGATCATCAGATTCTTTTCCAAAATGGAGACAGCTCTCTAGAGATACAACTCATATAACACTCAACGTTTTCTTGCAGCTTGTAAATAATCTTTCATATGACTCGGATCGGAAGAAATGAGCACTGAGCGCCACTCTGTGGAGGATAAACATCCCTGCAGACAAAGCTTGTGCTCAGGCTCAACTTTGTGTAAAATGAATATTTCAGCATATCTTTGTTGCAGCTGGCATGGACTGATTTGGGCATCAGCCCCTAAGCGCCTGCTATTTGACTCTGTATGCATCCGGACGCTTGTTAACTGAGCCCAGCAGAAGTCTGGCTGCTTTCTCTCACTGTTCAGTGGGTTTAGTGGGTTTTATTTTCCGTTTACTTACAGCAAGCAGACAATTGCAAAACGTGTTTTCCCATAAAGTCACAACTCAATTGGATCATTTTCTCGCTGATATTTGTGCATTGCCAGTGTTTCAGCCCAGAGAACTCGTGGAGGAAACTCGTTGGGAAGTTCAGTCTCCCTTTATTGAGACCGTGTTTATTATCAGTAAGAAAACGACATATTTTTTTTATGTCGGCTGTATTAATGACCACGCTTTATTACTATAAAAGCCCTTTGCATACCGCAATTTTTTTGTATTTCTCGACTTCCCCGTTTCTTAGCTTTAAATGCTAAGTTGGAATCGCAATTTACCCGCGTGTCATTCTGATTAATTGCAGCATGTTGTAAACGACAAGCACATTGCAACGTAACGTCTGCATGACACGAGTGCTTTTAAATGTAATGATTATATATTTATTTTTATAATTAAAAAATGTATGTGAACTTAACTTAATCGTTTTATAAATAAAAAAATCAGAAAATACAACACTTGTTATTTTTCACTTCACAGACTTTCAGAAGGCAAACAGCAAAGTAATTTGTGTGCGAATATGATCCAAATCTATTTCTATTAATTAGTACAAGTGCACGTTGTGTTGCCTTGCCACAAAACCAATTAACTTAATAAACTGTCATCATGATACATGTAGGGGGATCTATTTGGCTGGAAGCAGTTTAACAGATCGCACAGTCTAAAAGGCCTGATGACCTGATTTTGCTTTAAATGGCTTTTTTGAACCCAGAATACAATTAACTGTCACACGGGCATCTCGAAGTCAGATATGCACAAAGTATTTGCTTGTTTTTTTATGATGTTGTTTCGAAATCACTTTAGATGTTCAGAATCAATCTGCGCTGTCCGGGGTGCTGAAACTGACCTTCCGTCCTCTGCACAGCGGTATGCAAGAATTTCTGTATTTGTCTCAGATGTGTTGCACTTCAGGGACTCACGCTCACGATGAGTGGAGGGTGAAAAAATATACAACAACTTAGTCAGCATCAAAAAGTCTCAGACCGTGGGGACAACCTCCCCTGATCTTATACAATCAGATATCGACGAATCCAGCTGACGCCCGTGTGAATCACAACCTGGAGTGATGGAACAAAAATGGTGATTTAATCTCTCACCGATTTAATCCGTTTCATTAAACATCTCAAATTGAACCCAACGTGGATTTTCCTTGCAGTCTTATTGCACCAGAGCTGGCACACAAGTGCTCTTGTTTTTGTGGTGTGTGGAGAACTTCTGGCGGCGTGCTTTAGTAGAGCCGGTCTGCATTGCGTCGAAACCCTCCAACTCCTCCTCCTCCTCCTCTTCCTTCTCCTGCCGCCCTCCCTCCCCTTCCCTCTCATTTCCCTCACCTCCCCTGCACTTGGATAAAAAAAATGCACAGTAAAACTTGCGTGACATTGTGGAGAAAACATTTGGACCTCAATGCTGCACTTGACTGTCCCTCAAACTGTCCGTTTTGATGTATTTTATTCGGCCCGCCGAGCCGCGCGGAAATGCGTCCTGGATCTCATCTGGTCCGATCGCCAAAACCAGCAAATTTCTGCTGATGCAGTGATGTCTGGAAATGTCAAGTGCTCGCGTATTGCCCCTTAATGTGTCTCCCCCTTCTGAATTGCTGTGCAAGATTTTTCTCCTGCGGTACACTGAACGCTGTTCACGCCACCGTGCCGCCGCGCGGCCACCGACGCTGCAGCTTTGCGTTTCTCTCTTTTCTCTCCTTTTTACCTCCGGCTTTCCTCTCCAGGTTCCCTTGATTTTCATCTCGTTAGATCTCATCTTGCTTCACCCGCCTACAGGAATCTGAGGGCACTTTGTGGAGGGGACAGTTAGGTTGGCAATGAGTAGAGTAAGGTTGTTTTTTGTTGTTGTAAAAGTATAGGTGCAATGTGAAGTTACCACATGAGACCCACCGCTGCGCTGCTGTTGGATGATTTTACTCGAGGAAAGGACGCATTCAAGACGATTCAAGATCAGCCCACGGTGAGCCCCGAAACTGCTGACTTATACAATAATGATGTCGGTCAGAACATTTTGTAATCGACAGCTGCAGTTAACGTGAAGATAACAAACAGTGACTGCATTGTTTTTCTATCTCCTGGGTGTATTTCTGTCAGTCTTGCCCTGCAGTATAAGCCATTCACTGTATGCATGTATAAACATCAGTTGTAGCAGATGTTATGCGTCACATCATAGTTCAGGCTGTTTTGAGGGGCGTAGGGTAAACCACAGGCATGTGCCTCTGAGACATAGAAATAGAATATTTATCATTTAAACTAAAGTGCAGGAATACAATATGAGTGAATCAGAGAAACAGTTTAATCACTTAGGAATGTAATAAATGCCATGTGATGCAAGTAGATTATCATATAGTCAAAATTACTATGTACATATATATATATATTATATAATATTATATAATAAATGTCTTTATTATATAAAAAGTCATAGTCACTACTGTAACTGCACTAATGGTTGAGCGAAATAAAGAAATATATGAACAGCAAAAATTGCTGAGCCAGCAAATATGTTGGCTGTTTGATTCCATTATTTCCTCTCTCTCTACCTCCCTCTCTCCCTCTCTCTCTGGGTGACAGGGGCAGCAGTAACAACAGCAGCAGATGCTTTGGAGAGCAGCAATGGTCAAGTCAGCGAGAACCGCAGTGGAGCCGCACTGAGGCAAAGCAGCCAACCGCCCCCCTCCCGTATCTGGGGGACGTCTCTGACAAATTAAGGGGTGTGGGAAGCTGAGGAGTGGAAAATTTGAACCTGAATGCCTGCTCAGTCAGACTAACCGGGATCCCGACTCATCTCCTCCTCTTCTTTTCCCGTCCGCCTCTCCCTCCTCCCAAAAATGACCGTGGTGGCAGGAGATAACATGGACGAGACGTCGGCTGTCCCCGGCCACCCTCAGGACGCCTACCCCCCAGACTCCAATGACCATGAATGCTGCGAGAGGGTGGTCATCAACATCGCTGGGCTCCGGTTTGAGACACAGCTGAAAACGCTCTCCCAGTTCCCAGAGACGTTGCTGGGCAACCCCAAAAAGCGGATGCGGTACTTTGACCCTCTGAGAAACGAGTACTTCTTTGACAGAAACCGGCCCAGCTTCGATGCCATCCTCTATTACTACCAGTCTGGGGGCCGGCTGAGAAGACCAGTGAATGTCCCTTTGGATATGTTCTCAGAAGAAATCAAATTTTACGAGCTGGGGGTGGATGCGATGGAGAAGTTTCGGGAGGACGAGGGTTTCATCAGGGAGGAAGAGCGCCCTTTGCCTGAGAAGGAGTTCCAGCGGCAGATTTGGCTCCTCTTTGAGCACCCGGAGAGCTCAGGCCCAGCGAGAGGGATCGCCATTGTGTCTGTGATGGTGATCCTCATTTCAATAGTCATATTTTGTTTAGAGACTTTACCACAGCTGAAAGAGGACCCACGGGGTCGAATGATAACAGTTGGGAACACTACTGTTTATTATAAGCCAAATATCCTAACTGACCCCTTCTTCGTCGTTGAGACACTCTGTATAATCTGGTTCTCCTTTGAGTTGATTGTACGCTTTCTGGCGTGCCCGAGCAAACCGGCCTTCTTCAAGAACATGATGAACATGATCGACATAGTGGCCATCATCCCATACTTCATCACGCTCGGCACCGAGCTAGCCGAAGACCCAGAAAAAGAAGGAGTGGGGGAGCAGGCAACATCTCTGGCCATACTCAGGGTGATCCGTCTGGTCAGGGTGTTCAGGATCTTCAAGCTGTCGCGACACTCCAAAGGGCTGCAGATTTTGGGACAGACCCTCAAGGCCAGCATGCGAGAGCTGGGTTTGCTGATCTTCTTTCTGTTCATTGGGGTCATCTTGTTCTCCAGCGCTGTCTACTTTGCTGAGGCAGAGGAGCAAGGATCCTACTTTGGCAGCATCCCAGATGCATTTTGGTGGGCTGTTGTGTCCATGACAACTGTGGGCTATGGGGACATGGTCCCGGTCACTATAGGAGGCAAGATTGTAGGATCTCTGTGCGCCATCGCCGGAGTGTTGACGATTGCGCTCCCGGTGCCCGTCATTGTGTCCAACTTCAACTACTTCTACCACAGGGAGACCGAAGGAGAAGAGCAGGCCCAGCTGCTCAATGTCAGCAATCCCAACATCCCCTCTGAAACCAACTCCAGCCGCCGCAGTTCATCCACCGTCAGCAAGTCAGAGTACATGGAGATTGATGGAGACATAAACAATAGCATCGATAACTTTAGGGAGGCGAACCTCAGAACTGGCAATTGCACTATAGCCAACCAAAACTGTGTAAATAAAAGCAAGCTGCTTACAGATGTTTAGACACTAGTTAGGAACTTTGGGATCTCTGTGGAACTGTCATACTGTATGTGGAGTAGACCATCAGTTAGGAATGCTTCATTTACCTCCCCAAAGCGCCCGATGGCATTAGGCCTTGCTCCGCTACATGGAAAGAAATCAGAAAAATCCAAACAAAGCTCTCAGAGTATGTGACAAGTAGATAGAATAATTAATTCTTCGGATCCTACAAACATATAGTTACATCAAAAACTATTCCGCGTACACACGGCTCCCCGGAAGACGCAGAGCAAACACTGTCTCATCGGACGATGGAGTGATGATTCAAATCTTATGCATGGAGTACGGATAGCATTTCAGCAAGTTGCACAATGCACCAGAAAAAGTCTGCAGAGACATGCAAGCACCTGCAGCCCAGTGGTAAGAAGTTAGGTGACCCCTCACCCTGCCCCCCCCCCCCAACACCCCTCTGCTCCCTCCTCTTTCCCTACTAAGGATATCTACTATTCAGCAAAGCACCTTATAGGAGGAAGTCTGATCTCTCTGGTTTGGATGTAAACAGACGCTGATCTACTCGCTTCACGGACATCCGCGATGCTGCTGTTTCCCAGCAGATGCGTGTAATTGTGAAATCATCAAGTGATTCAATGCCATGCCCTTTAGACGCAACACAGCACAATGTTAACGTGAGCTTCACATGAGCATGATTAGAGACTTTCCATTTTGATATTGGCATGCACGAGACATATCTCACATAATGGAAAGGATGTTATTTTGAATACCTGCCTCCATCCCTTCTTCCCCTCTCATCTGTTTTCATACAAGTGCACTGGGTGAGTTTTTAATTTGAAATGCTAATCATTTAAAAGTATAGAAATTGAATGTTAAATCTTAAGGGAACAGTACATAATTGAGATCATAGCATGAGAAAAGTAACCTGCATTATGGTCTATCGACTAAGGTACATTTGTATCCTGGTATATTTAATGCATGACATGAGTATTCAGCTTTTTGCAATTCAGGCACTCTGCAGTGCCCTATTGTCAGGGAAGCAAAGGGAATTTAATTCTGGATGTTTCCAAACTATGATCAAATATATCCAAACCCACCTTGAGGATGCAGAGTTTATTATTTAAAAGTAGTCAAACGGAACAAATACTATCAAAAATGCGTATAATTATAATAAGCACCAATTACAGTATTACGTCAATAGTGCAGTGCATGGACCTTTGAACAAGAAAAGTTAACATATCATTACTCATGCTTCCATTTCATATCACATTTGACTACAACTTGGTTCGAAATCCACTAAAAGTGGATCACTACCAAGTTTAACTTCATATTACAGAGAATTATTCTGAAATTAGTTGCTAGTGCCTTTATCCCTTTCACCAACAGGACAAGTGAAAGTGCCTCCGTGTACAATGGGATGTGAGGTTGGGTCGGTTAACCCTCTATTGTAGTGTTAATACACTGTTGGTTATGATGTTAATGTGCCACATGAACTAGGTTGATACAACAGTTGATTGTGGTAAAAAAAAAAAAAAACTAACAAAAGAGAAAAGATGATCCATGGCTGTTATGCACAACCCAGTCTTCATGCCCTCACGCACTTAATCTTTCTCTTAAGCAGCAATGTATTGTACTCTGCATGTTTACCAATCCAATTTAAAAGAGAATTTCCAAATGTTTTAAAGAGATTTCATTTATGTCTTTGCTTTTTGTTTGTGCACCATGCATCCTTTCAGGGTCTCTACCTCAGTCAGGTCATTGCAAACTTGCTGCAGAGCTGCAAGCTTCAATGCAGGGCTTCCTATAACCATAATGCAAAATGGAACCTTAAGTGTAAACTGCAGACACGCAACATTGAATGTGAGAGTCCCAAAGCATAGCCTTGACACAAGCACTTAGGACAAGTAGTGTACCAGAATCCTGCTCCTTCAGTTCACTTAAAGCTACGCACAATCAGAACATTCATATGTAGAGGCTTTGTAGAGATGCTTGACTCTCCTATTGACTGTTTTATATTTGGTTTATTTGAAAACTATGGTATCTAAAGGTGCTGTTGTGTCCCCTGAATGTGTTCCAACAGACATGAGAATAAGACAGTGGAAGAGTTTGTTGTTTTTTAATCTGTCATCCTGCAATCCTCGGGCATTATGATGCACGGCAAAGTGCAGCCCGGCTTTTGCACAATAATTTTGTTTTTGATGCTTGAACCATACATAGTGCATTGTTTCTCAGCATATGGTTTCAGACTAACTCCAAATAGGTTTGTAAAAATTGTAATGACTACTTGAAAATCTCCAGCTACTGTACATTAATCTACGCTCACTATTGAGATGAATGCACCCAAACAATACTAAGATTTTTATAATGAACTGTATGCTATTTTTATTTCTTTAGCAATCTCTTGACGAAGTCCTGTAAAAAGAAGAAGTGCCACCACAGTACTTCTTGAATGTCATAAAGTTGTTTCTGTTGGTGCGATGGCTATTGTTTGTGGTGCTTGTACAGGACTAGCATTGTTGTCTTGTAACCACCACATGTTTTCTTGCACTTTTTCCATTCTCCTGTTGGGTTATTAGTGGCTGGTTGGTTGGTTTTGGGCAATGCCATTTTATTTGGTTGATCTTTGTACTGTACTGCTGAAGAGTGTCTGCCTCAGGCAAGGGAAGGATTCAACAGCCTTGCTAGATGTCAGACACTTTTGATTAGAGCAAAAAAAAGATGCACATTTGTGTCAGGGAGCTTCATATACAGAAGGACATAAATACCACCCAATACCATATATGATATTACTTTATATAGATACAAGGGACTTCTAGTAGTCGTATTAATGCAGCTGGAAATGCTCCAAGAAACTGTTGGCTTTGTTCACAAGTTTCTTGTACAAGTGATGCTTGAAAGTAGTGATGTGTGTAACATGTCCTGCGGAGAACAGCTGAAAGTGAGGTGAAGAAAATACAAATGACACCCCTCACATCAGCAGTGCTGTGAGGGCGTGTGTGAAAGGTGCTATGCATTCAATTAGCCAACAGAATCATGCATTCTCAACAGCAATAGAATAACAGACACTGAACCGAACTGTTTCTTAGATGCTTTTTGTAAAAAAAACAACAACAACAACAACCACACAAGAAAATAATCTATTTTGAATGTGGGGGAAACTGCGATGACTTGATAGATAACTTGATATAAAAACAGGGCTGTTTATGTACCAACCGATTACCCTCCGTTCTGTGGTTTTGTAAAGTCAGTGGAGTCAAACGTAGGGGCGAGAGAAAATCGTGAAAAGTCCAAATATAGGCATCGTAATAGTGGCAGTCCCCATTAACCACCCAGGTCGGAGTAGAAGGGTTCAGACGAACGTATAACACAGTCCCATCAGCTGCGTGAGAGAAAGTATGAGAAGGGGCCTAAATTATTTTACATATTCATTTGTTGAGCTTACTGTTAGATGTTAATGCTTCTGCAAACAAACATGAGTGAGAAGATTTAAAAAAAGATGACGACATTAACATAATTAAACAATAAGAAAAAAACAGAAATGTCATGAGAACAAAATGCAATTTAGCTACAATAAGATAGAAACAAGTATCCACTATATACAGCAATTACGTATGACAAACAATTTTAATGTGTTTTAATTTTCTCCATTTTTGGGTGACACTAACGTGACTGATTTAGGAAGAACATGCCATATACCAGAATGTCAAAGACAATATGTCCCTTTGGCAAGCCATGAAATGAAACTACTGTTTCATTTGCTATACACTAAATGATATGGACAAGAAGTGTACTATTTTAGAAGCAAACTTTTTGTTTGTCTTTTTGGTTTTAAGAAAAAGGATTCATTGAAACACCATGTTTTCATTTTTTTTTCAATCTCCCCTGCTGAACCTGCTGCAAAATGTATCTACAGAAACCTACTAATCAAAAAAAACTGCATGGTCGATGGAAGACTGCATGAGTTTTGCCTTTCAAACTGTGGATCAACTATAATACGGTTGCCTCATTTAAAAAAAAAGAAACCCTTGCTGTCATCTGCACCAAGGCTTCCTGCAAGGTCCTGTTCAAAAGTGGTCGAGAAGCGTGTCCTCTGCTGGATTTCTTAAAAGCACCTTAGCGCTGACCTTTTCACTAAAGACGGCGTCGGGCATCCGAGCCGCGCTCAGCGCCGGCGTGCGATTGTTGGGTTGCGTTCGCTAGGCTCTGAATGTGAGCGAGGACATTAAGGGCTAGTTTCTCAAACTCTATCTCTATTTTTGGACTGAAATGCTCTTTCGAGTGACATTTTGCCCCATTCCTAGACTGTAGTGATACGGTGTGAAACATGCCCATCATGTCTACACAGGGCCACACACACTCCTCTGTGCTACATTGGTTTCAAGGCATTCTTGTTTGCTAAAGGCGTTGATGTTGGACAGCTTTCTGTCTGCTGAGGAGGCGCTGAACAGGATCAAATGTTGGGGTGTTGCGTACCTGGTTCGCCAAAGGCCAGGGGAAGATTGTGACTGTGTTAGAAGTGTGACGAGAATGCACATTTAATCGCTTGTGGGGTTTTGGAGCAAAGCGCAAAAAGGACTGCTGAACTCTTCCGCTCTTCTTTTCATCCAAACTCTGATTGTGTTATCTAATCCAGCCATCATTGTCATGTTGTGTTTACCAAGGATTATGCTGCAATGTGCTCAGTCTGTCAGATGATGACAAAGGCATGGTCTGTGATCTATGCAAGGGTTATTTTGTTTTATCTTATGTCACTTATGATTTCATCTTACATTAACTTCAATAAATTTTTAAGGATCTGCTGGTGTATCCTCATTTCGGGTGGGGTTGGGGTGTGAACGCCGTATCTGCACTGTATATGCTGCAGTGTGCATTCCATCAGAACCGGAGGTCTCAATCTAAATGTGCTCTAGCTCTGTGCTACAGGACCCTCTCGCTGAAGCCATTAGCAGTGATTCACGGTGCTAAAGGTAACGGTTCCACACTAATCCTCCCGTCCCAGGGGAGGCCCGCTTACCTCTGTCATTGCCTCAGAGTTGTTTCACCTCAGGGGCACCAAGAGCTCCGCTTTACTCTGGGACTCCTCCGGCGTTCGCACGCACGCACGCATGCCTAAAAACATTAGAGCGGGACTCTGAGGAGAAGTGCGCATCCGCTAAGTGTGGGATTGTGAAGCTGCTAACAATGACTTCCCTGATGGATAATCACACATTTTGACACCTCACAATGGTCTATTGCCCAAGTCGGCTTGTTGTGTCTCATTTCTGTGAGACAAAGAAAAGCTGCAAATCTTTACATTTCAGAAGCTCCAATAGGGGAACGTTTGGGATTTAAAAACTAAAAGATAATTGAAATTAGGTATCAGTTAGGTTTTCGCCATCCATTTATTTCAAACATAACCTTTTCAAGCATACCCTCAGAGTGTGATTTGACCACATTTCAGCTACAGCCTCGACAGCTCTCTATTTTGCATTAAATACATGCAGCTGTCGAGGGCTGTAACCTTGAAACAGCGGTAAAGCGATGAAAGAAGAAGAAGTGGGCGCAGTTTTCGGTTTTTCGTGAAAATGATTCATTCCCACTTGTGCCCTGCGATGGCGTGAAGCTGAATATTTGGGGGGAACGTTGGACAGCACGCCTCACGCTCTCCCTCTATCTGTCCATCTGTCCATGTCCCTCTCCGTGTCTCAGTCTGCAGCCCGGCTTTGCTGCACGGTGACCTTAACAGAAGTGAGCCTTCTTCTGGCTCGTCCTCTGCATTGCCCTCAGGAAATGCAGCACTGCTCACTCTGCAGGCAGCAGCAGTAAGGGTGGGGTGGGGTGAGCTGGCGCCGGTCCCACTCTTCTTGTGAACGAACACACACACACACACACACACAGACACACACTCTCTCTCCTGAGTGCTGTGAGGCTTCACTGGACCGTAATAGTCCAGAGTATCGCACCAGTTAGTTTTCTCTCTGCGTTGCTGTCGTCCACTTACCTGTGTGCACACACAAACGCAGGGAATCAAATGGAATAATCCTGTAAAGCAGCTGAGGACTTTTTAGCAAACAATAGTCAAACAGGTTTTAATTTTTAATCATTTCAAGGACTATTTTTAGCTTTGAACATTGGGTGATGCAGGAATGGCTAAAAATCAACTGCAGTAACCAACCTTATGGTCATAAAGCTTGACAGGTGAAACATGGAAACATTCCTGGTTCTTTTGATGGATGTGTTTACATACTGTAACAAAAAGCAATAAAATCACCAGACATAAAGTATACAGTAGATTAGAAAGCTTGCACACTTCCTGGTGGAAGTCTATTGGTTTCTTTTGGGAGGAATACAAACTTGAGCTGTTGTCTTGGTAATTCCTGGTCTGCGTGTTGGACTAATTGACTAATCGGTCAGCTGTGCGTTGTAATCAAGGAACGAGTGTTTGAAGGCGTTCTGTGGCTGCATGTGTGCATACCCTCAGATGCCCGCTAGTCCACCTCTAACATATAAAGTGAGCTTTCAATAACAATGTGCAGAATAGCTTTGACAGCACTTTTGGATCTCCGATGCTTGAGCAAAGCCCTTGGGCCTAAACACTAACCCACCTCTATAGGTCCAAGCCCACCCGCCTCTTTTAGCCCCCCCAATCGCCTCTCTATGGCACCATTTCCTCTTTGCATTACCTCCATCAGGCCTGGCTGCTGACACACTTGTTTAATAATTAAGGGCACCTCCATAATTTTCTCATCCTTGTGGAAGTCCACAAATGGTCTCTGTGAAAGTCGGGCCAGTTAAATGTACCTCTTTAGCTCGCGCCACAGCAGCCCCACATCTGTTTAGCGGTCCGGAGGAGATGAGACAATCCAGGGAAGGTGTGGCTGGAAGGATCAGACGGAATCCGTTCCTCCTGATTTACCCACTCTTATCAGTTCATCCAATTTCCATTGACATCACACATCCTGTGGTGGAGCGCCTGCCACACACTGTGTCCTAGGAATAATGTGTGATATGTCTGATTTTCCCTCCATGTATCTATAAACAGATCCAGTCCATCAGTCAATAGTTGTTGAGACACACTCAAAAAGACAAGAAGGAAAGGAAGGAAAAGTCAGAGGACTTTGCCGAGCCAATCGTCCTTCTGGTAGATCCCACGTTTTCTCTTTGGCATCAAAAAGTATTATTTACCACAACTTACTGGACTGAAAAGAGTCTGTAAGTCAGCACATAGGTTCTTTTGGTAAATCAACCTCCTAGTTAACACTTAAATAGCACAAATAGCCAAATTCAGTCCTTTTCGTCTTGCATTCCATTCGATTGCGTCCGAGACTGAGTGGCTGTGAGGCGGGTTTAAAGGAACATCTAGAGCGGTTACACGAAAGATCACTGGAAGATCAGATGTTTTGGCTTCACGCACCACCGAGCAACTGGAGCACACCTCCGAAACCCCGTTATGTCTGCACATCCATGCTGGGGACCACGACCGCTTACGTGCAGAACATTATAACAATGTTTTCCTCCCGTCGTTATCAGCTGTAACCGCTGCATGAGAACTAACAAGTGGGGCACGTGCACCAATATGTACGAGAAACGTGCAAGGGGAAGCTCAAGTAGCAACACAGACAGGGAGAGAATGACTTCATTTTGTGCTCAGGGAGACACAACACTGTTTCTCCTTCGCTGTCACCTCATTGCTTCCTTCCTGCCATCTCTCTGGCCGTGGTGGAATCTGTTATCAAGTCTCGGAGCCTGGATGCGTCCTTGTGGTATCGGGCGATGTGGATCTCAGCTTACACCCCCCCCCCCCCCTGCTCGGTGTGCAGCGTCAGCGGGCTCGTCTGGGGGAGAAAACTCGGAACTTAACATCAACGACAAAAGCACCACGGTGACCTTCGCGCTTCAATTACGTCGACGAGATCCGCTTGCTGAGCGCCAACAAAGGTCAACGTAGTGATGGAAGAAGTTCAGAATTACTGATGCTCTTTTGGAATATTAGTTTGAAGATTCATGCCCATGTCTGTTTATTAAATATATATTATTATATTATTATTATTATTAGCTATAGACCTAAACAGGTTAGCTTAGCATAGCACAAGGAGGAAACAGCTAGCTTGATGTGGTCTGAAGGGCGTATTAACCATCGTGACACAAAACCCATGCAACCGTAACTTCCATTTTTGTACAGATTAAAGAAAAGATACAAAAGGTGGGCTGAGGAAGTATTTTTTGTTTCCATCCTTTAATATAAACTAAGACGCAGTGACGATGATTTGGAGGTAATATTTACATTGTAATTACAAAAGTGGTGTCAATCTTCTAGTTTAACTTTACATTTTTCCCAAAATGTCAAAGGTCAACAATTTCATTCAAGTCCCCCGGCCACAAGGCCTCCACGATCCTTATCCTGTATTTAAGGGCGTTTTACCGACAGCCGTCATTAATCTCCTTCAAGGCATCACTGCAATCGGACTGATTTGTTAACAGTTCTTAAAATTCATTTGTACATCTGAGTTTGTTTAAGAAGCAATTTTAACTTTATATTTACTATTCAGATCTTTGAATGCTCAGATTGAATATGAATTTCCCACCGAATGATGTCATCTCTTTTCACTGAGGACAAAGAGACATTGTTGAAAATAAACTCCTTACTGGAGACGCATTACACATCGTACAATGATGGAGCAGCGTGTCAGTGTTGCTGTCCAGGACACATTAACTGGGCTGATGGTCGAGTTTACAGTAAAGGCTTGTGTGCACGCTGCAAAAAATATCCACCTTATTGAGTCACTCAGTATTTGACTCAGTCCATCGTCGAAAACGATGAAAAGACAATAACGATAAATAATCTAAAGTGGTTTTTGGTTTAAGAAAATGTAAAGTTTAGGGGAATTTATTTAATCCTACAGGCATTTTTACAATTTCTGTTTTTAATCTTGTAATTAGCTCTTTAACTAACTTAACTGCTCTTTTTTTTATCATTCATTAAACCTGCGATTATATCATGATTAATCAATTAATAGTTTGATTTATGAAAAGGAAACTTTTCTTAAAAGTGTGCATATGCCACAAAAGAAATCATGTTGCTGCAATATATATATATATATATATATAATGCTATAAATATATATATATATATATATATATATATATAATGCTATAAATAAAAAGATCACCTCTAGTTTCAATACTGCATACACGGATATTTCTTGCAGTGCAGGCAGCCCCACTGGTGAGAGCCGGTAAAAGGCTGACAAATGGAGAGTGCTTTCTGCTGAGAGTCCACCTTTCTGCCTACTGGCAACCGTTATACAAATATACATATACTGTATGTGCATAAATGGAAATGGAACGTAAATATAAATGAAAGTTGTGGTTGTCCTCGGACGCTCACGAAGGTTCGGAGTTAAAGCTCCGGATCGCTGCTTGTTTGCCTAAAATACTTCTGTCAGTTTGGGAAAGACAAAGAACAAAGTCTCATAGCCGCTCACATCGCTGTGTATATTAAGCGAGATGCAAAACCCCAACAGGGTTTGGAGAAGCAAATAAGATCAGCACTCCTCAAATAATAATTGATGAGATAGCGACACGGTTTTATTGCAGGTTGATTGAAATTGAAAGAGGGAGTCAGGTGAACATATTAACACGGCTTTTTCAAACGAATAGTTCTTACTTTATTAAATAGTATTATTCCTTTAATAAAGCATAAACTGCAATGGAAGCTTTCCTCGACTGTTTCTCACAATATTCTGTGCAGCCTGTAGTCCTTCACACAGTGCAGAGGATGTGTTGGTGTGGATCTGCTGTGGAAAGGAGCTAAAGGCCGTTCTTCATCTCCAGTGTGAACCAAACACAGCAGCAACCCGCAAGGTCTGATTCACCTGCGAAATGTCACTGAAGCAGACGCTGACCGCCTACACGCGATACATCATAATCCATCGATGCCTCTCGGCACAGGCAAGCTCGCTCGCACAGGCAGCCACTCCAGCTTCGCTGCCCTCTCCACATGGCCTCACAGCCGCAGTCGTCAAGGAAAGCCGTATTTCAGCAGTTTAACGGGCTGAACCCCTGCAGAGGACGGAGTGAAAAATCAGGCCTTTTTCTGCTTGTCCCGATGAAACACCTGGCCACGGCAAAATGCTCTTTGTAGACATTTATTTCCTAATACGCAGCATATCCGAGTTATGTCGTTTGAAAAGGTAGGGAAATATAGGGCCAATGCTTTAAAAAAAAAAAAATCAGGCTAATGACAATTTTAGTGAATTTTAGTTTCTGCAATATGCAAATTGAAGCTGGTATGTCTCAATGAATTACATCCAACCTCTTTAGCTTCATCAGTCATCCTCGCTCCACCGTCCTTTCCATAACCAACATGAACATGCAGTTTCAGCAAATCCGTAAACAAATCAATTGTTTTAGGCAACGCTGGCTGCCACATTGCAGTTAATAACTGGAACGGTGTTATTTTCTTTCTGTAGATGCAGAAAAAGAAACCCGATGCTATTCTTGTCAGGTGTGCATCATCCCAAAGATCCCTCCATTAGGTTTCAATGCAGCGTCGGCTCGAGTGTGTGTTGGTCCGAGAACACGCTCAGCAGAGCCCCCCCCTCCCTTCTCCCCATCTGCGTTGGTGCTGACTCATTGTCACAGCTCCTCAATCTGCTGCCTGCTTGCAATATTATTCTCACACTCACATACACGGAGAGGATGTAGATGAGGAGGCTGAAACTAGAGGGACGGGAATTGGAGAAAAACGAAGGGCCATATACTTGAGGACCGGAAACCAGAGGGGGGAGGGGGGGGGGGGGGTGAAGTCCAGGTGCTGGAGCTAGCGGGGGGAGTCAAAATATGAACAAAAAGATATTAGTTGACAAGAGTAAAAAAAATAAAAAAAAAATCCTGCACTATTTTGACAATTAAATAATTGTTTCAGTCATTTACAACCCTCTGGATTCTCAAGTTGGTCAAAGTGTCAGACTACGCCAAATGATTTACTTGCAGATCAAATAATAATGATCATAAAACCGTACAACCGTAAGCATGTTTGAATCGTGGCACTCGAGATGCACAGGATTCAGACACCGGAGAGCAGAAACAGTGCGCCCTCTGTGCGAGTATCCGCGTGCTCCTCCTGCGTCTGCCAGAACACCTACAGGACGGAACAACAAGTCTCTGCTGCAGGTATCTACTGCTGCATTGGCCTGGGAGAGTGCAGAGCTGCAAACCGAAGGACTGCGATATGCGCACACATGCTGGGATCCCAGCGAATAGACACACGCACGGCTCGGAGCGACGTGACATCACCTGCTTCTCCTTTGCAGCACTGCCGTTTAATGTTGTTCTAATATACTTAGAACAATCAAAATGATTGTTAATGTGAAAAAACTGTATAACTGGAACGTCTTTGTGTGTTCGACTGCAGAGCTTCATCACTGACAGGAAGTCATACGCCCCCTAGAGGAAGACATTGGAACAAGAAAGAATTATTTAAGAGTGACCTTCCTGAGCGCTTTTACAAAATACGGCGGTGGTGACTACTTTAAAGTTGAAATATTTATAAGTGCACATGTTTGAATCAAGGTGTTGAGAACACAACAGCAGACAAACACCAGCTCTGAGTTTTCAGTTTTATTTACGGTTCATTTTTTCAGACCTGCAGAGGACAGTTCAAGCGCCTCGATTTTGTTTTTTCGTTTTTTTCCCCCCGCGCAACGTCATGTTAAAACCCACGGAAGGACTCTGTTGGCTTCTCCTGGATGAGTTTGTTCATTTTTGTGAAATACTGTTAAATAGGGAACAGCAGGAGGGGAGGTGTAGGGGAAGGGGGGGGGTAAGATATGAGAGAGGGAGAGAGAGAGAGAGAGAGAACGAGACTTAAGACTTTGATAAAAAAAAAAGGAAAAAAAAAGGCGGTGGTCGGAGAGGTTGATCTCGAATCCTAGAGGCTGAACGCTCCCTAAATCACTACTACAGTACGTGGTATTGTCTTGCAGCACCTTACTTTGGGGCCATACGGTCACTGCAGTCGCATACAATATTGCATATTTCCCAGCAACCATTGACGCTAGACTCCTCCTGCCATCACTCCTGCCTCTCATCTGTCCATGTTAAGGCCTCGTTTAAGCCCCCGTGTGCCGAACAAAGGGACCGGTTAACCCGCTCGCTGCCCTCTTTAGTCCTCTGTGACGTATCCTCCTGTCATCTACTTGGTGGCCGTCCGTGTCAGGGCTAGTTACCGTAGGTACCACACAGTGGCACTGTGAGTAAGAGTCCAACCCTAGTGCTCAGAATGTGTGCCACGACGTCCCAGAGCCCGGCGCCCCGCGGTCAGGCACTGCTCTATCCTCTGATACAGAGGTTCAGCAAAATCTCTAGCTCTGAAGCCGGCCGCCTGTCTCCCTACCTAACAGGGAGCCCCGTGCATAGCCTGAGCCCTGGGGCCCCCCTGGGCCGTCAGCATTCACTCTACGATTAACCAGCTCTCAGCTTCCTTGTTTTAAAACCACTCTCAAAAAAACAAAAAAAAAAAGCCAACACCTATTTCTCTCTCTGTGTGTGTGTGTGTGTGTGTGTGTGTGTCACCTCGGCGGCTGTGAGGGTTCACCGCTCTACAGTCTCCTGTTAAGGTGGGTGGGAAGAATGAGGGTATTTGGGGCAAAGCTTCAAGAGCAGATTCACAGCTTGCTTGATTCCTCAAAAACGCATCGTGACTTCAACTTTCAAAAAACAAACAAAAAAAAAAAAAAACGCCTGATTAATCATTAGTTACTTTTTTCAAAAAAGGTCTCCCTTCAGCTAATTTGTGTCTCGGTCAGTTTGTGGAGCACCGATGGGCGCTCGATGCCCTACCGCTTCTTGTGCCCTCAGTTAACAGCGAACCGCATGGTTTACCTCACGTTACGCCCACAGACGGGTCTGAGGAGCCACAGACGGGTCTCATGAGCCGTCATGATAGTAGCAGGTCAAGGTTCCCGATAACTCGTGTGCCACAAATAAAACCAAACGGGCCTTCAGAGTAGACAAGAGGAAGGAGGAAGAGAAAAAGAAGAAAGTGGGTTTGTTACTTTGTTAATCATTTTCCATTCTCTGCAGATTGGTGTGTATTGCATCGAGGGGAGGGAGGCGGGGTTACAGAGTGAGTGGGTATAATGTGGTAGTGGGGGGGGGGCGGGGATGGGTGTCTGCTGTAGTCTGTTCAGTGGCGGTCCACAGCGGCACTCTGTAGCAGCTCTGTGGCGGGCTGTCCCGGGGGTCTGAAAGCGGTCTGGAAGCCGGGGGGAGGGGAGTGGAACTGGCTGGCGGGATTGGCTGTGGTCGGGGCCAGGTAGGGAGCCCAGCCGCCGGCTGCTCTGTGGTGGAGGGGGAGGTGGGCGTCCAGGAGGCCGCTGTGGTTGGGCTGGGGGGGAGTTGGCACCGTTGAGCTGGCCGGGCTGTCCATCTCTGTGAGCGCCTGCAGGGACTTGAGCCAGTGTGGTGGGTTATCGTCCTGGAGACAGTCTAGACTGTTGCCTGCTGAGGCCGGGATGCCTGGGGGGGGGGCAGATAAGCACATTTCAACATAACAGCAATGTAGTAAATACAAATAATGTGTTATCGATTACTTTTGTGTAAACCAAACTTTTAAACTAAAAGTGACTTAATGTCAACTCATTCAAAACAACTGCACTGAAGTAAAATAATTTGAGTATACTCACTATATTGACTTTGTAGACTAAAAGATTAAATTAGTCAGCATACTATTTATCAAGCAAACAATCAATTTCCGTACTAATTTAAATCTCTACCTGTGATGATAGCAGGGTCCATCCAACTGGCTGTGCCGTCCCAGCTCAGGCTGTGTGAGATGCCTGCTGGCCCCACCGGCCCACCGATGTGGTTTACACTGTTGGAGGACGAGGAGGATGACGAGGAAGAAGAGTTTGGGAGGCCCCCGAAATTGATATTGATGTTGGGCAGGAGCGCTCTCAGGCCGTCCTGCCACTCTTTCACATTTAAGCCGTCTATAGAGCCACTGTTTTCTGCAGGAGGAGAAGAAAACAAACAGGGTTGTCAATTCGGCTGCTTTGATCGCCCCCTAGTGGTCAGCTGCAGAACTGCATCCAACAGGATGTAAACTCAATAGAACGCTACTCATAACAAGCACAGCATCAAGCAACACATCTGATCTCCGTTTTAACATGCGACCGCTCACACAGGGCAGAGAAAGGCAACATAGATGTCTGGTACCTGAGATGGGGATCCCTCCCAGCCCTGTGTTGTGCTGAGGGGGCAGATTCAGGTCCAGGAAATTACTGTGTGAGGCAGCACTGGCTGAGTGGTTCAAGTGTGTGAGGTTATTCCGTGTCGGGACGCCCATCCAGGGGTGTCTGGCGGCTTTCTGCTGCTGCTGCTGCTGACTGGCCGGGCTGTTCTGGCTGCCGGGGAAGCTGAAGGAGCTGTAGATGGCTCTGTGGTGGAGTGGAGGCAGGCGTGGCATGCTGCTGGGGAAGTGGTGAGGGGTGCCGGCGTTGGGGTTGAATGGAGGCAGGCCGAGTCCATGGTTGTTCCCACCGTGGGAGAGGAGCCCCGGGGAAAAGGGGCTCTGATCCTGCACAGACAGCTCCTTCTCTATCAGGTCAGCCAAGGCCTTACGAGTGACGTCGAAGGGGTCGAAGCCCAGATCGTCATCCTGCTGTTTGCTGGACGAGCCGAAGCCGAAGGCCGCCTGCCAGTCTGTGGAAGAAGACACTGGTATTGTGTCTGCGAGGAGAGAGACACACACACACACACACACGTTACAGGAGCTGTCTAAGTGATTAGTTTCAATGGAGCGTGTCCACATTAAATCACACATGTGCAGTCTGTTAAATGAATGTGTTGTTTTCAGCTGTGTGCAAGAATACAGATGAGAAAATGAAAAAAAAAAACAAATTAAAACAAGTCAAGGTGTTCAGAAGGTTTCCGTCCATAACCTTTAACGCCCCACAGAACACATAGAAGTAACCGGAGCAAAAGAACGTTGCATCCAGTCTGTGAGACACATCTTTGACAGCAATAAGCAAATACATATGTGAATATATGATGAGAATATTTAGTGATTACTTGCTTTCATGCTGGTTTCATAGCTGACAGAAGACTAAAATATTGTGACAGACGCCAGAAGAAATGAACAGAATACACATGTGACTATAGTCGGATGTATCTTGCTCTAAATTGAACTGCTATGAATTTTTCCTGCATTATGAATTTAACTTCTTCATACTTGTAGACTATTATCTACCAAGCTTTGATAGGTCAGAATGTGCTTCCATGTGGGTCAATCTGTTTTTTCATCTGTGGAGCAGGTGAGGTGTTCAGCACAAGTAACCATGGTGATCTAACCCGGCCAGATATAAGACTGAAAACAGTGAGTTAACCCTCAAGTTACTTCGCTACACCCAGAACCTGCTTCATAGCACAGGCCTCGAATCAACTCCAGACACACACCACACTATTGGCTCTTAAGACGCAACTCAAATTCCTTTAGAGGCTCTGATCTTACCGATAGATAGAATGTAAGTGGCTTTATAATCTGTACAGCACATGACTGCGCTCTCTTGCACTAAAGTTGAATGTTGCGTTTAATCTTCCCAGTACCTGATGCGAAGAGGCTCTGTGGTTCGGGGGTCATAGGCCAGTCAGAGTTGCCGCGAGGGGAGCTGGGGAAGGGGGGCAGGCCAGCGGGGAGCGGGTTAGGGTGTCTGAAGTTACTGTTGTCTGAAAACAGCGACTGGGACTCAGCGGCCGCTCCCTCGAATGGCGAACGGGCTGCGAGGTCTGACACGCTGATGGGCACCACGAGGCTGGGCTTGGTTAAACCAGGGGGAGGAGAGGGAGAGTCGCTGGTGGGCATCTGGTAGAAGAAAAAAAAAAAAAAAAAAAGAGAGAGGAGAAGCATTTGTGAGATGGTCCTGGATTACCTTCACTTAATAAGTAAATAAAAACAGGAGATGAGGCTGTTCACCTGTTGTAAAGTCTCTCCGTTCACCATACCGATGGACTCTGGGGGTTTGTCACTGGGACTGTGGATAAACGAGGGAGGAATTCAGATATCAAAAGATATGAGCAAAAACTATGTACTACTAAAATAGCCATAGAAAAAGAATCCCTTTCAATCATTACTCATGGCCCACTTTCATTGACCCACTCGTTGTTTGGATTCACAGCTTTGTTCTCACTAACGCCGATCCCACTCTTCATTCACTAACTATCGCTGCTCTCACCTTCGCTTCTTGAGCCAGACAGGAAGGGGCAAGTATGAAACCACCCATAATATGACAACAAATTATTCCCTCAACAAAATACGTTTTTGAAAAATAGAAGCTTTTTATTTCAGGATTTGTTGGAGCCATCGTCCAGGAGGAGGTCAGATTACCTGTTGCTGTCACAGTTGGAGGAGAAGGGGGACAATGCTGAATGCTGACCAGGAACTAGATCCGTTTCTAGCCCATCTGAAGCGAGAACTTCTTGGTCTAGATAGTCTAGCAGCGGAGGAGACTTGCGGTCCTCTGAGAGTCCGTTGGCCAGTTTGTTGTGTCCTGACAGCGTCGGCCACCCATCTTTACCGTTGGTACTGTTGGATCTGTCACAAAACCCGGAAAATCCAGCTCAGCACAAGTGGACGCATTAAGAAAAAAACACTTAAAAAAAAGAAAACTACCTCTGTGTAGAGTTGGGTTTACTCTTTGACTTCTCTGTTCCACATGCGGGAGGTTGTAGAAAGCTAGGGTTAATTTTATAGAGGTCTTGGAGGAGTTTCTGCTCATATTCTTGATGTTTCCCTGCCTAGAAAAAAAAAGAATGACAACATGAATCAGCAATAATCCTTTCAATAACACACACAGCCTCGACAACAAATGTACACAATGGAAGAGCAACGATTGAATCCATATTTTAGAAAGAAAAAGATTTTACCTGCATTTCCTCTTTAGTAAAGCTAGCTGCTTCATCTCCCAGCTCGTGTAGATACATACAATCAGGTTTAGGACACTGCATACTTTTAAGGAAGTAACTGCAGTACTTTGTTGTGCCTAAAGAAGCCTGTAGCAGTGAGACCAAAGAGAAAAAGGGGAAGCAATGGTGATGGAGTATACTTTTAAGAAGGTTTTTGTCTTACATTACAGGATGTTTAATGACAGGAAGACACAACTTTTATGAAACCGTGATTAATCACCAGAACATATATTTGCATTTGCTAAACCTCTCACCTTGAGTGTTCTGCCATCAACAACCACATTGTTTACACACTGTATTGCTCTTAAAGCATCTTCAGAGCGGATGTAAGTGACATAAGCGCTGGCACTGGGCCCCTGAAAAAAAAAAAAAACAATGAAATAAAGTCACAAGTTCAAACACATCTACTGAAGCGGTTATCGTGAGATAAACAAAAAGACAAATGAAGCACTGTTAAAGCTGGTGGGCGGGATGGGCCACACGCACGCACACTCACACACACACACGTCACCACATTAGTGACTCTAAAAAAGGAGATAACAATCTGACGTTACAAGCCCCAAACTTGTGAAAATCATCCTCCTCTTTTTCAGAGACTCAAAACGCTGGTTGTGTGTGGACGAAAGCCTGAAGTGCATCGAAGCAGCTAAATACCGGTGTTTTGTGGACACAGCTTTAGTTCGAAAATAGTTTAAAACATATAAAGTGAGAGTACATCCTGTCATCTTTGATCCATATTCTCACCTGTGAACCTGCGTAGGATGTGCTATTGTTGATGACCACTTTATGGATTTTCCCAAACCTCCCAAAATACTCTGGTCGTTTTAGGACCTGTGGACATAATGCAGAAAAAGAAATATGTATACCACTTATTATAAAGTTTTGGGTGCCCTGTGAACACAAGACAAACAACTACATCACTCTAAAGGCTTCAGAGGGAAGTTTTAAAAGGGAGACGTGGGCTTTAAAATAATGAAGTATCAAAAGTTGTTCGCAATGTTCAAAATAAATCTGGCAGCTGCTGCCTTCAGTTTGTCATCTCAGTGTACTCACCTCCGGCTCGGCGAGTCGCTGTGAGAGCCCAACCACAAACACTAGGTTTCTCTGGACTACTCGGACACTGGCCAGATGCTTTCGGTTTTCTGTCACTTTCTGCTTCTTTTCGTTCTGTTTCTGCTTCTTTTCGTTCTTTATCCTCTGGATCTCTTCCTGTGAGAGTGGCTTGTACACAGCGGGGTCCTCTGGGTACGGCTGCAGAAAAACACAGAAAGGATGGTGATATCCACCACTCTTGTCGTTTATGTGTGGCATTGTAAAGGGTAACTGAGCAGGAAATATGGGAGCTCAACAGGGCTCACCGGCTACCCTGCTGAGGCTGTGAATTGTAAATGATGAGCTGATGATTTAATAAATAGGGATACTCCATGAGGGGTAGTCAAATATTTTCTTCCCCCTGGTTTTAGCATTGGGAGACTCAACATCCTTGTTCCTTCTGAAGAAAAATCCCAATTCATTTGTGAGGAGTTTCATCTCCTCACCTTTCTGCAGGCAGGGCAGAGGCCGTTCTCATCTGTGCGGATGCGATGCCAACAGAAGCGGCAGATCTGATAGCCGCACGTGCAGGGGAAGAAGTTGACGTCATCAATCTCCAGCGGCTCCATGCACAGAGGGCACTCCATGGGGTCGTCCTTCAGTTCAGGGCTGTGGGACATCCTATGGTGTGGCTTAGGAGAGTGTTGTAGCTGGTCACGGAGCGCAGGGCTGAGAAAACAGAAAAGGTTGAGTTCAGGAGCTCCATCGTGACGTCATTAAAAATAACATCAAGTGAACTGAGCTTGATGATTTTATAATAATAATTTGCCAACATGACAACCAAGGTCACACTGTTGGAACAGCGATATACATGTACGTTCATCAGAAAAAGAAACACTACACTGACTGTATTGGGTCGACCTAGCTCAACTCCCGTGGTCTACTAAAATAGTATTGGAATTTAATGACGGATATATAATGTTGAGTTGTTAACAGAACTTTTTACAGAGGTGTTCAATCAACAGAATGAATCTTTGGAAGGTTATGGCACTGTTGAACTGCACTGAGATTTTTTTTTTTCTAATGTTTGGTCTTAAACCACAGAGGATAGATTACATACCGGTAACTGCCCAAAGTACATTTCAGAGCTGAAACAATTAAGAGCTCGATAGAAACACAATTTATGATCACTGGATCTCTTTCAGTAGCAATTCAAAAGATTTTTATCAAAAAAAACATCACATCCCTTCATTGCCAAATGGCGACTGAGGCTCTGGCTCACTGATGAAAGCATAGCAATATTTAGATACTTGAAACTGGGGGTATTTGTTGATATCTCAGAAAAAATGCAGTTTTCAAAACATAACACACATAACACATTAAAACTCAATTTTAAAAACATAACAATAAATTTGAAGTCCCCGGTTGACTGTGGGAAAATGAAAGGTCAGAGTCCAGCCTTCCAATATGATTATGAAGTTGACAAGGACTTTCTAAAAGAGCTTAAGGAAAAAGTCCATAAGACAACCTTCACAGAGGATTGATTTATCGCAGAACCTTGTGATTGGATCAGTTTAACCTAAATGTGATAACAGGATGACTGATGGCACAGCTCAGAAATCTAGTCAAGCATAGCAGTCATCGCGCTGAAGTGATAATGAGGATGTTGTGTTATCTTTCCGGGGTTTGTCAAAAGTAAGACACCTCATCATAAGGGAAATGCTTCAGACTGCGTTTATTTACCAGCGAAACCTTTCGTTGTTAGCAGTTAAACGCCAGTTTGTTTTCAGCGTGACAACACTGTTACCAACAGTTGAACAAATAACAAACCCAGAGTAATCAAACCTCACAGTGCAACCTTTATATTAGATAGCAGAAAAGACTAACATTACGAATACTTGGCAGCATTTTGCTGACAGATTAACACGTACGGGAGTGTCGCGGTTCTCTTGCAGAGCTGGTTGGTAAAGTCCTGTGTGGAACCAGAACACCTAACGTTATTTAAGGTTAGCCGGGCTGGTAACTTTAGCGGCACTGTCCACTGGATCGTAACGGTACATTGTGACAGATGTTATTTGACTAACGTTTGGCTAAGCTAACATTAGCCGCGAAATGGTAAAAGAAGCCGGTCTACCGATAAACACGTACTCGAGAGTAATTGTAGGTAACATCACAAACTCGAAATAGACAGAGGTAGTTATTTACTTTGTATTGGCATTAAACGTTCTAAGATATAAATGCCACAACAGTACACCTTATTCTATTACATATAGACTGACAGCTTGCGTTATGCTAAACGCTAGCTAGCATGCTACTTTATCATCGAATGCACAGGATTTTCATGCCAAGCTTAGGATGCGGCCTACACAAGCTAACGGTGAACTAGGAGCAAGTTGTTGGCACTATAAACAACTGACATTGCCAACACGGCATTAAGGTTACCTGGACAGCGATCTGATACACCCGCAATCACTCTAAAGCCGGTCTGAAAAATCGTAACGGACAAAACTGCCTTTTTATTTATCAAGCGAATGGAAGCTGGCTAACCCAGCTAGCAACTTGGCTAACATTAACGTTACTTACCCTGTCCGTATTTAGCTTAGGATTCCACTCCAAGGGAGTCACACCGAATTGGGCGGGGACTGCGAGCCAATGTGTCTGAAATGTCAAATCTTCTATAGCCGGTCACTTAAGATAACCGCAGTATTGTTGTTCTGTTGTGATTAAAAGTCTATAGAGATGTTTTGCCCCTTTCTTTTCTTAGCACAGGGGAGACAATTTACGCTCAAACCACCATCTTAGCTAGCATTAAAGTAGGGAGGAGGGAGCTGGGCAAGTGTTTAGAGCGACTGAGTCTGCGCGTATAAACAGGTGCCTTCTGGGAAATGCAGTATTTGGCATCTTTGAGCTGGAACGATGGACATCCTTTGATGAAACGTTTAGAATTTAGGCATCTAAAATATAAAAATGCATCTAACCCAATTATAATTTGGAATCTCTTGCACGTGATTGAATTATTTTCTGCAAGTAGTGATCAGTGTATGAAATATGCCAGATTTTCAGTATTAAAATTAAATTAAAGTAGTTCATATGAACTCCCCCTTGAACAGCAGTAACAGACGAGCATTTTGAGTTTAGGATTCGTCCTCTTTTTTATTTGAATTGAAATATTTCACAAAAACCTATTTGAATTTGAATTAGAATACAATAGTCTCAGTAAAACCCTGTTGTCTTCAAACCTTCATTTACATAATTACTATTCAATGTTACTTTCTACATTTTGTTTCTAAAACTTATTAAATTAACAAACCAATGCATAAATGCACAATCTTCACACATTTCATCCAACCTCTTTTTGTATATATTTTTAATTTATCCACATGAAGCTGGGTTTGGGCCAGCACTGAGGGACTTTGTTGGGATCCACAGAGTCTGAGGTGAGTGTAGGGGAGATGGGGTGAGACGATGCCAGGGACAACCGTGCAGCCAGGAGGCCCATCCGAACACAACTGTCTGTGTCTCGCTGGTGGAGAATCCCAGCCATTAAAGCACCTGCAAGACTGAAGAGAGAGAGTCGGGAAAAGTGCAGTTTTTTTGGGATGTCATCTAGTCAAAATGATATTGTGAGTGAGAGAAAGTGTAAAAGGAAGAGGTAATAAGAATGTAAAAAGTGCATACAACTGAAGCAGAGAACGTTTTAAATTAAACTAAGAATAAGGAAGAGGAGGTCAAGTAAGTTTTTAGCACCTATCTCCTGCTCCAGACACATTTATTGTCTCCTCTGCCGTCACAGTCAGCGCCGGGTACTGGACGGCACAAAGCTGCCTCTTCTGCAAACACACGGGCAATTTCATCATCATATTAATCATCGTCATCGTCATCATCATCATCAGATATAAGTTGTCCTTACCCTCTTCTGTTTTCTTGGCTGCAGGTTGACAGAGCCTGCATCGTGCTCCCCGCACACCAGCACCCCACCAGCCCCCAGAGTCACCACCAGACAGTGGACGTGCTCCAGGAGGGGGCGCGAAAGAGCCACAGCAACACTCAGCATCTCCTCTCGAGTGCTCGGAAGTACTGCCACCCAACAAGACCAAAACCACATCCTTAATCACTGACACTTATTTTGCTCTAAATGCAACAGCTGTGTGTTAGTAGGTTCAAGTTAAACCACAAAGTGCATGTTAAGGAAGAACGTTTACCATCCGGTGTTGGGAAACCCAGTGTTTTGTTCATGGCGCACAGCTCTGCCAGGTTAGGAGATGAATAGGACAGAGACTTCCAGGCGTCTGACAGGAAAGGCTTCGAAGCTTTATCTGAATCCGTTGGCTCATACCAAACTGGGGACACACATTGATTGCGTCGTATTAAAATCAATGAGAGATTCCGATCACAATTGTTCATAGTGACCATCTCCTTATGCTCACCATTGATGTTGTGCTTTTTGGCAATGGAGCAAACATAGTTGATGGTGGAAACTGGAATGTTTCCATCGAGACACACAAGAGTGGCTGATAAAAGCTGCTTCTCAAACTGTGACACCTACATCAATAGAGAGCATAATAAAGAAACAGCAAATAGGTGAACTTTATTCCTAAACAAATGTGCAATAAGAATATCAGAGAATGGTAAACTGTGTTTCAAAAAATGAAACAAAAGGAATGAAACAAACGATTATTCTCTTTATTGAATAATCTGTGGGTTAAATTGTTGTTGCCACTCACATACTGCTCTGTGATCTGCTGATGAACTTCCATGTCTCCCAATCCAAGACTCAGCTCCCCGTTCTCGTTGATGACGGCGCAGTAAGTTGCTGTGTTTTGCCCTGGTAGTCTGAGCACACCACTCGTGTCCTTCGAGAAATAAGACGAAAGCCCACCAACGTCACCTTTACCTTTTTTAATTCCTAAGGGTGATTATTATCATGCATAGCAACAAACTACTGTTGTTGTCCACAAACCATGTGTTTACAATACTTCATCACTGCTTGGCTGTGTGAATCAGCTCCTGTAGCTGAGATGAACAGGGGACTACGGCCTAAACGACTCAGAGCGTCTGGAGGGGGAAAGCACCACAGACGTCAGTGAGAGACCATCAGATTGGAAGAAGCGTTGAAAACAATGCGCATCTTCATTATCAGATGAAAACACACCAGCAATGTTCCGTCCTACACCACCAAATGACTGACACACACTTCCTGGGTTGGTCTGTCCAAACTGAAAGATACAGCTTTTCTTAGAAGTAACAAAGAATGATATTTCCTCACGCGGTCGGCAGTAGTGTCGATGAATCAAACTTACATGAAGTTCTTTCGTCTTTCCTTTTGCAATAAAATCAACATTTGTTCCCCCTATGACAACCTGTAAGGAAACAGCATTGTTAATACTGTATTGTGCCAATCACATTTGACGAAACAAGTCCATGGTGCGTGTTATTGCTCACAATATCTGGGCCTGGTGGGGGATTTCCACGATGATGAGTGTTGCCTCTGGACTTTCTCTCAGTCATTTGTTTTGACAATGCGCAGGCTATCTGACCTCCAACTTTGGCGTTGTTATGAATGAGAGCAATATCTGAGAGCACAACAGGTTAAGGGCATCTCAGCTGTGACATATTGCTCTGTGACATTGACTGGCCGATGAGAAACCTCTTTCTTTCCAAAGAACTTGTTGTGTTCTCTGCTTGACGATGGATCCGATTTTCAGGAGGATACTGGCCTGAAGGGACTTTCCCTCGGTCAGCTCATTGACCATTTGAAGAATGAATGGCGTCACATCTCTTCCTGTTATACCTTTAGCACTGAGTAAATGCGAAAAAGAAAATGTACGTTTCCTCCAACGTTATTTAGTTTTAATGATCTCAGGTGTGAGCAAACACAACTGATGACATCAGACTTTCTGTACCTCGCCTCGCTTAATGCGGCCTGGATGGCTTCCTCTGTCAGCTGGCCGGCTGCCGCGTGCTCCTCTGGTATGGGCACCGCTAACAGGACGCCGCTTTGGAGATCCAGAGATAGAGCGCTTGCTGAATGACGCAAAAAAAAACAACCCCAGATCCACATTGATAACGGGTATAACTGAAAAATTGTATTTGGTAAGAATTCAACGTTGACCTTGGTGTGTTTAGGGTGAATGATATTAAATGTAGATTTAATGACCAATGAGCGCTGCAGCTTCCTCGGGGTCGGCGACTTGGCACGGAGAAGTGAATCCGCTTTGTGGAGAGAAGAAGGCTGGAAAACTCCTTGACTGTCCATAAGTGGCCACACAGACACCCTGCGTCTCCTAATAAAAGATACATTATCTGTCAGTTTATTCAAGGGTTTTGAGCAATTTTGAACAAGACTTTTCAATTCTATTATAGGCACATAAATAAAGACAAAGTGAAATCCCCTTCTCCATCGTGTCCACCCCAAAGTGCATCACCAATTAAAAACAAAAACTGAAAATGGTTTAGAAACTCAAAGTAAAGTCACCTCAAGCCAATAAGTTGTATAAATAAAAAGATTGCGGAAAGATTAAAGAACAAACTCAAACGTAAAAAAAACATTATCTGAACATTCTTACAAGGAACTCCAGGGTGCGACCGATGTCCAGAATAGACTTGACACCGGCCGAGACGACTGCGATGGGAGTCCTGCCGAGCGCTGTCAAATCGGCGCTGATGTCCAGACCTGGAGGAATGATGGAGCCGGATGTTAAGCCTTCACACAACTGGTTGCAATGGTTCCCAAGAGGAACTTCCTGTCCCAACATTACATTCCTTACGCGTGGAGCAGTTCCTCAGCTTCATTTAATATCATCATAAGTCCACTGTAATCTCTCCCCATGGTCTTTGTATCAATTGCAGGATTGTTCACTCTCCACGTGAAAGAAATACGTCGTCACGGTTCGTTAGACTAGTCGGTGTGCGTGAGTCATGCTTACTGTTCTCTCCGTCCCTGTGGACCCCTCCGATGCCCCCTGTGACGAACACGTGGATGCCAGCTCGATGTGCTGCCATCATGGTGGCCGACACCGTCGTGCCCCCAGTGAGACCCTGAGAGAAACAGGACAGCGAACCAGAAGTCGGGGGACGGACTCATTGTAGGTTGTGAGGTCATTTTGCGAGGTGCGTCTTGGGGTCTCACCTTGCTGGTGACGTGGGGCAGATCACGATGGGACACTTTCAGGGAGCCCTGGCAGATGGCGAGCCGTTCGAGCTCCTCGGAGGACAGACCAACGTGGACCTTACCCTCGATCACTCCGACCGTGGCGGGAGTCGCTCCTTCAGCCCTCACAATGGCCTCCACCTGCTTCGCTGTGCTGAAGTAAGACATTGATGGCATTCATAGCCGGGGGATCAAAGCTACTTTTAGCTGCGGGTATTAAAGTGTACTGACACTTAAGATGGGATACCTCAGGTTGTGTGGATAGGGCATGCCGTGCGTTATAATGGTGCTCTCCAGTGCAACCACTGGTTTGTTTTCTGCCACAGCCTTGGACACAGATGGATGAACTCTAAAGAGGCTGCCTGAGAGAAGAGGCGCCAAGTCATCGTTATTACCATCAATCTGATGTGCAATATGCACACATTACACTTTTAAGTGTTGGCAATACAATGAGAGGATGCATTTACCACTTTTACAGAAGGTGCTTTGAAAGGTCGCAATTCCTCCTCTCAGGATGAATGCAGAAGCTCTCTTCAGCATCCTCATTCTGTTCAGATTTGAAGGGAAACCCTGCAAACATTTAGCTGTTATATCTAAGTGACAAAAAGTTCCCAAGACTATTAAGAAGTGTTTTTTTAAATTCTATTTATGTTTAAATACCTATTCTCTCTGTATACGTTGTGTCAGATCTCATTGAGACCAAAAGGCTGTGTAGGTCACACACATTGTGATTGTCAAATCAATGAACAACGTCATCTCAGCGGCTCGAAGAGACAATGAAATGCTGACCAGTTACATCACACTCTACAGTGGTCTCTGTCACTGCAAGGCACAAGTCCAATTCAACCATTGTGAAGATTTTCTTTGGTCCAGTTAGTCAAGAGAAATTCCATCAAACCCCCTTTGGGCCACTCTCAGAAACAGTATTATTGTTTTTTTTCTCTTCTTCACTGTATTTATACACTAAACATTTTTGTAATAAATTTGTATCAGACAAAATAATTTTTTTCTCCATATATTAATAATGATTTTGTGCCCAAAACATGAATTTGACATTGTTTTTCATTTGAAATCTCAAACATAACAGTGGGAGTTTAAATACTAAACAAACACTTTAAATTACAGTCAAACTGTCTGAAAGGCAGCTATATCTATAGGTGTTATCAGCATTCACTCATTTCTACTCACATGCTCTTTGCTATAAGAGCGAGACCATTTATCGGGGGTACGAACACTGACTATGTAATCAAAACGTCTCTGCTTTGCAAAAAGTCTAAAGCACATTATATTAAATCAGTATATTATAATGATAATAACAAAAATCTGTGTCCTGCAAACACAGTGTTTAGCTTACCTTCGCCAGTGCAACTAAAATCCAAGAAACTTTGCTCAGAAGGCTGAACTTTGACCTAAACTCTGTTTACACATGCAGCCCAAAAGCATCAATCACCGATCCTTGTGATCTAAAGTCTAAACTACTCTGGATTCCTTTCCTAAGAGAAAGTAATATATATTTAACATTAATGCAAGATGCAAATACACTGCAGCACGTTTACGAAAACAAGTCGATACACAGGCAAAATAAAGTAAATAAACCATTGATGAAACAGCAAATATTTACAACACGTTCTGTTTTTTTCACATTTAAATCTGCAAACCGATTGAAGATTCTACACAGGTTCATTAAATTTGTCCATTGGCCCAATAGTTGATCCAGTGTACCTGTTTTATTACCTGTTGGTTTTCCCAGCAGATTTATTTGGTCCCACAACACTAATCACATTGAATGCTTCTGATAGTTTAAACAAACAGTGGAGAAGATCATCACTGATCACGCAAAACATTGACGTAATTGCATCAAACCCTCCCCCATGAGAGGGTTCAACTCAACTGAGGTGCACATTTGAAACTCTTAAGCCATGTAAAGCCCTGTTTTGTCTCGAGTGAGATCCCTTTCCTTAGTCTTAACATGACTGCCGACTTGGGTTGAGTCGGGTACGCAATCTGTCATCATGTCCTGGATCTCCACTGAGTGTCCCAGTAATTCATCTTCAAACCACTGTGGATTCTCCAGCTGGTACGCGTGAAAAGCCTCTAAGGCGTCCCGCAGGGCTCCACCTGAGGGACAGCGAAAGTACTCGCGCTCTGAGAACCCCTCGACGTGATTCACTCTGCCGGGCTCGCGCTTCTCAGTGTCCATGATTCTGAAAAAGAGCTCCTCAAACTGTTTCATCAGCTTGTATCGAACTGTGATGTTGAAAGGCGGCGGAACATCTTCTTCACAGCAAACATCGTCAAAGTAAGCCAGTATGTACTTCTCGAACGACGCAGAGCGGACAAAGTGGGGGACCATGAGGCTGAGGGCCGGGCTGAGCATGTCCCCCACGGCTGAGCAGGCGTCCTCTCTCAGGCAAACCGGTTTGTCTCCACACATGGCTCTCCATTTGGCTCGTACCCCTCGGGAGCACAGGATCAGTATCTTATCTGAAGAGCTTCCCGTTTGGTCTCTGTGACAGTCCAACCACTGGATGCTCCCCAACACTCCCAGCCTCGTGGAGTCCAGCAGATCCAGGACCACTTCGGTACCGCATTTGGACGCCATGAAGGAACAAAGCTTGAGGACTATGTTTTTGTATAAAGGGTGGTCGAGGGAGTAGATGATGAGGACTCGTCTTCTGTTCTGCATTTGGAAACCATCTGGTTGCTGCTTGCTAGTGGAGGATGATGTGTTCACAGGATCTGTAAGAAAAGTCAGGTTGATTGGTTGTTAGCAATTCAAGCTGCTATTCTGTTCAATATTGGGCTGTTAAAGGCAAACAAACCTTTGTGAGAGGCTTTCCACAATAAACAAGCAAGAAAAACACCAACAGCAAGAAGCCCCACTGTTGCCTTGAAAAGTGAAGTTCGTGGTGAAGAATCTAAGAGAAAGAAAAACACAAATACAGGTTATATCATTTTAGACAAAACATAATAACAAAAAATATTCCCGAAAGGTCCCAATATAAATCAGAGTAAAGAATATTTATCCAATGTTTCTGTGAATTGTGGGATCATTTGTTATATCTGGGTCAGAAACATTTAATCAAATCAAAGAATCTGAGCAAAGCGTTCTGCATCATATAGTTGAAATAAACACACCGCTGTTTTATGAATATATGTATAGATGTCAAAAAGTATACTTACATTCACATAAATCAATTATTTTCTCGGGGCGCCGACAGGTCTTCTTACACCGAACAAAAAACGGCTGAATCTTAGAAACAAGCCGAGCAAAGTGAACCTTTAATGTTAGATCATTTTCAACTGTCAGGGACGAGAGAATACACACACATTAAACTCACCATTAAAACCATTTTACAATGTGAAAGCTGCCACCAGCCGAACTCAAAGGACACATTCAGCAATGTTTGGTTTTCCTATGGACGAAGGAAACGACATTGACTCAGCATCATATGTGCAGGCTTCTCTTCTACCACATCCATTGTTCATATAAGCGATGAGTATAGTGTGATTACCTTTGAGACATTCTTTGAGCAATGGAAACCACGACTCTGGATGGAGACTTGGTATCTCTCTGAATACTGAGCTGCCTTAAAACCCACAACAATCAGAAACCTTCTACCTTGCTTATAAAAAGTGGTCACATTAGGATCCCATAGACTTCCTGAAATACAAACCATGCACGTTAGTTACATAGTAAGTACAGGATTGATATATATGCAAACAACTCTTTGCTTTGTAAAGGTATAGCAGAGTTTAGTCTGTGAGCAGAGAGGTGCGGACAGCTCTAATAAATAATAATATAGAATTAAAGAAATTACCGTTTTCCAGACACATTTGGGCCTTTTGGATTCTCCTGTCAGCACATCCTGGCCATGAAAGTGAATATTAGAGATGATTAGACGATTAGATGTTTAAAAGTAAATACGTGTGATGTGAATGAAAAGTGATCAAAGGATCATTCTCATATTATTGAATTGATCTTTTTTATTTACGTTGTCACTACTTCCTGATTGAAGAGAACACATCTTTTTACATTGCTCATTTTAGTTGTGGCACTCGACTTTCCTCACATAAGAACACCCCATAGAATTACACTCTACACAGAATCATTAGAACTTTTAACCTTGTTTGTACAGCAAACATAAATCAAATGTGTCAGGGCTATGGAGGGAACTCACCTGGGATGGTAATCTGCTTTTTTAACCTGTAGTCTTCAATATCAGGCTCTGGCAGATTGAAAAGAGACAGCATGTATGTGCGGCCGGGCTCTACCACGACTCCGTCCAGGGAAAATGTCCACTAATAAAGAAAAACAGATCTGTAGTGTCCGTAATGCTGAAGCTGTTATAGCAATAGTCCTCAAACGTATCTTACCTTCAAATAGGTTGGATTAAGCTCTTTCTTCAGTTTGTAAGAAAACTGCACACATATACTTTTATTTGTACTTTCATCCAAAACACTGATCTCTGATCCACGAAGGGCTTTTACACCTCCTGTAAATAGAAGAGAATGTTTGTTTCATTTCAAGGATTTAATCTCTGACGCCTTATTTTCTGTAAATTGGTAGTTCACGCATTTCAGATTGTCAGCTACACAGTGGGCTCTATTTAGTCACAGAACAACACTTACCATCTGCCTGTATTTTCCACGTAACGTTCACAACAGGAACAGGTCCATGTTCGTCCAGCCAGACTCCCACCTGCTCAAGATCCCACTCTGGACCAGTTGGAGCGTGTCGTCGACGTTCAATCGTTCGTTTATCTGAGCAGCTATCTGGATATATATATATATATATATATATATATATATATATATATATATATTTGTGGTTAAGTGTGTAGGAAGGAGGATCACACGAATGGCAAATTAAATTCTTAAATTAAAATGTCTTCCTGTATAAATCATTACCCATTCAATGAGTAGAAAAAATTGATGTTTTAAATTTAAACATTCAAAAGCAGAAATATTGATTATTCATAATATTAGCACCTCGTCATATCAATTGAAGCCTTTTATATTTATATTTAACTAGATTTCGCTGATTTGACAACTAAAATACTTACTAATTGTGCAGTTCTCAAGACCCTGGGAAACAGACATGAGACACGTTGTATGATGACATGATTTAATGGATTAAGGACTGTAAATATCAGTTTACTCTTTATTACTTATTTCTTAACCAATTGAATCCTCACCGGTTGGGTGCAGTCCGGACGCTGGTCCAGAATCCTAAGAGAAGCCAACGCCTGGAGTCCGGCAGTCAAATAGAAACAGAGAAGAGGAACACGGATCATTGCGGTGTAGCGCCACGACACGCGTGGAAAAGCTTCTAAAACAATTAAGTAAACAAGAGCTACAATAAACTCCGTCTGGAGAGACGGCTCAATGGTTTGTTTGAACAGAAACCGAGGAGGCTCGGTGTGATCTGATGTCGACCATTGTGACGTGTTTATCAGGTGCCGACATCTGAATACACAGGAAGAACACGCTTATCCAATGTGGTTTGCAGTTTCCATTTGCATGGGGAGCATTGTGTGTGCATTTCATACAGGATTTTGAAAGAAGTCATCTACTCATTGCAGCGTGTTAAGTTAGATCGATGGCAACTGCGAACCACAATGTCAAACTATGAGACAGTCACATGGTGGTAGCAGTGACCAAATGTACAAAAGGCTAAGTTGTTTATACAGTTTAAAAGCCATACGCAGGAAATGAGGATACATACAACACAGATATTAAACTGTAGGGGTCAGTAGAGCACCTCTCAAATCACCTTTTAACATCCAGCCAGACCTCACATTACTAGATATACCTTTTATCATATATTTGATATACATATATGCTATATTTGATATAACCACCAAACCTGCTATCATTCTTTGTTTACAGGGATTATATTCTACGGGACCAAATCGGGGCCGTGGCTATTCCTGTGAATTCCTGTTGCTTTGTCTCATTGTTACCACGTCTGCCCAGAATAGGCCGCAGTGGTTCCATCGGATCTCTGCTGAGTGTGAGAGTTTTGTGGCGGCCATTGTGATCCAGTCGCCATGAGGGCACCTTTATCCAAATACAGCAGCTTGTTCGGTACAGCTGCAGGTTGCCGTGATGTGTTCCTGTTTGAATCAGTAGACACATCAGGTGACAAATAAAACTTTGAAGCACCCATAACTGGTATAACATAAAACATGTTTGAATTGTGTCAGGCTGTAATGTTTTTGTTTATACTCATTTACTTGTTTCCTGATTCCTGATTTTATTACTATTATTATTATTTTAATAAATCTATAATATAATTGATGTATTGATACTTTTGCAATATTTGAATTTGCCTCACTAGTACTTTTCGTGTTTAATACTAGTTTTAGCTCCACTTCGCACTACGTCCTCACACGACACGACGTGACGAAACATGAACCCAGTGAATGAAGCTTCAAGTTCAACTTAATTAACCCCAACCTATCAGGTTTTCAAAGTCTACGACGTTATTCTCTACACCTCATGACACAAGCGATAAAAAGTAAGCGCGCCCGGGGCGCCTGATGTCCCCTCAGAGAAAGTCAGCTGTCGGCCTGCAGAGGGACGTGCGAATGCCCTCGTGCATTGTTATCACATGAGATAAATGGGTCACGGGTTGAGGGCAAATCAAAAAGGTTTGCCCTGTGATGCAGACAATTGTCAGGTGGACAGGGGGTCTATTTTAGCGAGCCATTCACATGAGACTTTGAATACATAAATCCTTCTCTAATAATCATGAAGTGCTTTTTCTTTGCCTGACTGAGTCCTGTCGCTGTCCTCTCTGATTCTCAACTTCAAGGTAAGTTTCATATCAAGGGCATCAATGTTTAAAGAAAATACAAGTCAATGAAATGTACCACAGACCTCACAGGGGGCTCTTTAACCTGACACTCCTTGTCCTGCTGTGACAGCAGCCCAGCTAAGTCTCTAGTCGAGTAAAGTCGAGTCAGACTTTAATTTAGGGAGCAATGAAGACTGCATATCAGCATACTGCCGACACCTCTACAGGAGCTGGTATTTACGTCATGGAATCCCTGCAATGTCACCACTACGGTCTTAAAGTGACTTTTCAAACTTTAGAGCTTTTGCTTCTTCGACATCTTTTGGTCCTCGTAACCATGAGGCTCGAACCGCCCGCCAGTAAGCGGCTGGGAAACGGCACGCTCGACCCGGCGTCGTGGCCGAAAAGCTAGCGTGAAGAGGGATGATGGCTGGCTGACACGAACATGGCAAACTCCCGGGGCAGAGGGGCAACGCTGGAGGCTTCTCGTAGTTGTCCGCTGCTTGGCTTATTCATATTAAATGTCACACCCTGTCAGACTGGATTCATTTAAAATGGATTTATTACTGTGTTGCGCCAGAAGCTTTGACAAGCTTCCACCCTTCTCTGACACCTACATCATTTTATTTATATATAATGTTATTGTGGAACTCATTCAAAATAGGAAGCATTGCAGTTTTAAATGAAGAAGGTCAAAGAAAGTAAGAGAATACAGCAGCTCATTACATTATGTTAAAGCTCAGTTTTACTTTAGTTGTCTATCCTTTAAACACAGATATATCCAGTTACAAGAGTAGAATATGGAACATGTTAGGAATCAGGATTGGGATAGGAAACTATTTCATTTGCTCCAAAAGTTTTTGTCACTTGACTGCCAAAACGTTCTCTGGCACCAACAAGGCGGCAGCAGCTGCTGTGGGGCGACGCGGCTAAATATAACCGAGTTACAGGCTCCTCAGCAGCTCTTTCACAACAATAGAGTGGATTATCTGGTCCTGCAGGATTACTAAAAATGTATCGGACAGCCCCCCTGAGAACTATTAGAACCAATGAATTAATTACAGGTATTAAACTTTGAACTAGTCAGATTAATCAATCATATAAACTATTAAAAACACTATATTGATAAATGCCTATGATCGTCAACACAAAGTGGAGTCTCCAAAACTATGTGGGAGTCAAAAATACATGTAAAATGCATTAAGAAAAGACTTAAACCTCCTTTCTGCTCCCAAGGAACCCTAAACTGCAGACATGTCTGATGGGTGAGTATCGGTCTCTCAATGCGCCACAATAACCTACACAATTACCGTTATAAATATAATAACATATTTTTATATTTTACATCGACTTTTCTTGTCTGGTGTCGATGAAGACCGGTGAGTTTCTCTTTTTATTTATGATCAACATTGATTTGGAATGATTGATTCATGCATTCATGTGAAGATCTGCACTGATGACCGTATGAAAGTAAGTCTTCTCATCTTTCTCACAGAGAAAACAAAAATATTCAGCAACACGCCGACTGCATTTGAAGGTACGTCTCGTCGACCTTTAGGCCTCAGTATCAATATGCGTGCTGCGACCGATGAACTGTCTCACGTGTGTTACAGTCCAAACTGCTGAAGAAAGCGGCGTCCATGCTGGTAACCGAGATTAAAGAGAGGAAACTTGAGAAGGAAAGAGTCGTGAGCGCATGCTTCCCTGCACTAACGCTGTCCGGTCTGTCAGCCGAGGAGCTCAAGGTAACACTGAGCGAGCAAATCAAGGTGGTTCACACGTTCCCATGATTCTACGTCACCTCGACGCTTCTCTTTTTCTTTTCAGGATCTTTGCAGAGAACTAAATAGTAAGATTGATGTCGTAGACGAAGCCCGTTATGATATAGAGGTCAAGGTAGACAAAAATCTGATAGAGGTACAGTGAAACTGAACCACACAAAATACTGTGCGTGTGCTGCATTTACTGACCTGCGGGGATGCTGAAAGTGCGTGTTTGTCGCACAGCTCCAGACATTGAATCAGAAGATCAACGGGCTGAAAGGGGCAAAGAGGCCCAACTTGAAGAGGGTGAAGAAAACTACCGATGATATGCTGGGCGCATGCGGAGACACCTCCAAGCTCATGAAGGCTGATTTCAAGGTCAACCTCAAGACAGTGAAGAAGGAGGAAGAAAAGGTGAAGCTGGAAACCTGGCAACATTCCTTCTGAAAATGAGAAAATGGAATGAAAAGTAAATCAAATCCGTCTTTTATCTTTTCAGAAGGAGGAAGTGAACGACTGGCGTAAGAATGTGGAGGCCATGTCCGGCATGGAGGGCAGGAAGAAGAAGTTCAATGCAGGACAATAGAAAGGTGTTATGCTACCAACACATCGTCTTTCCCCAAGTAACGATTCACTTTAAAATGTTTTGTTTTTTAAGAATTATATTTTAAATCCCTTTGTTGTCTTCATTTCAGAATCCTTGTCTGGATGTCTCAAAGGAGAAGTTTCCATTTCAAGATGAAATAACGTCATTTTTAAAGAGTGATTTCAACTATAGGGACTCATGAATTAGATTATTAGAATAAATGGATTCAATTATTAAATACGAGCAGAATTTAGATACTACAGTATCAAAATAGATTTACCTTGATTTAATGTATGTAAAAAACACCAGAGTACTCCATGGATAAATATCATATATGTATCGTAACCTGTTGTATACATTTGCATATTGAAATTGTGTAAAGAATTGGCTGATTATCTTGATGAGTTTGTCTTTTAAAGTGCACTATTTGTATCATGCAGATGTCTGTAATACCGCTGAGTCGGATTAAACAAAAGCAACAATTTCCCTGCTTAGTTCCCAATAAAAAACAGCAATAATCGTGTTATTGAATTGATTGATTCTCTACTCGGAGGGGCAGGGGGGGGGCACGGCGGAGTGCAATGATATAAAGTACAAGATGCTAGCTGACAAGACAGAGGAGGGGATTTTAGTCGTGCACTCGCATCAGGCGGAAGGCAATATGAGGAAATGCAGGCTCTGGTGTTCCTATCGAAGGGACTCCAAACCCTAAGCTTCTAGTCTCCATTCAAACCCATTCTACAAGAAGTAACCTAAAACTTCTTTCTGACCCAAGGTTTGTACTCTACTATTCTTATTTAGTCTTTTCCTGCCGACCAATCCTCATGTGAGGGCGTGACCCCGTTACCACAATGTCAGTTCAAGTGCTGAAGGTCACCTGTCTTTGTTCCTCTGCTCCAGCAAATAAAACCTGGCTAACATTTGGCTCCCAGGTGGTGCTGCTTTTCACCACGGCACACGTGCAAAAGAATGGTGATGAGAATGTGAAGGAATTTGTTCAAGGAAAATGAAAATTCGTCTTACTCCTTGCGACTTGATGTGGTGAGTAAAGGGAAAAAGGCGTATTCGTATTGGAAAAGAAAGAAAAAAATATGGTGTCATGTTCCCAACGCTGACGCATTTGATTTATTTCCAATGTTTAAATCTCTATTTTATTGAAAATTGTCATGAACAAAGCAATATCATACATTTGATTTGATACAATTGATGAACCCACAAGAGATGAAGATATAATAAGTATATAATAATCTAACTAAAAATATTAGATGCCGATAAACGGACATCTTGACATCCAGATTCAAACCTGGGCGCTGCTGTTAATTCTACAAACAAAATGAATATCCCCCACTACAGGTTGATTTCTCCTGTTTGACTCCTTAAGAACTTTAACAAGACTCCCCCAAGCCGGTCAAACGTGATTGTGTGACACTGACCCAGCGCGCCACCAGTGGGTCAGAGGACAACGTCTCTTTAAATTCTCACTGTCACTTCCACCAACAGGTGTTGTCCAAAAACACAACATACCCAAACGTGTTGGGTATTAGGCCCATAAATGAAGTTTTATTACCTCCTTTCACGTATCACATTGTGGAGAGTCTATTTCTGTGGGCCACTCACACTCGCACTGCCGCTATAAATCGGATTTTTCTCCCTCAGAAAGTTGATTGCTGCCTCCGTCACGCACGCGAGGCTTAAGGAGTTGTTTGTCTTCAACAAGGTAACTAGTTTCTTCTACTGTGGTCATTGGGGACTCGGTAAACCGTCGAGGTGTTGCGCTCACTTTGGGGATTAAGGAAACATTTCTCAGCATGTTGCAGCCGGTTTAAAACAATCACCAACAGTTTTACTCATTATCTGCAAAGTATCTTATTCAGGGACGTGTCTTACAATTTATTGTCATTTGGACATCATTGAGATTAACAGCAAGTTGTCACTGTACATTCCTGTGGATCAACTGGCCGTTAGACCTTTTCGTCGCCTATGCAGAGGCTGTGACTTATGTTAACACGGCTGTAACAATGCATAGAAATACATGTCTGCACATAATTCAATTGAATTCTAATATGTATTTAGATCTATTATAATATTACATTTAACTATGGGAAACTTGTTTTCAGATGAGGAAAATAATAGCATAGTTGTATTGTAACTGCTATATGTAATGTCGAGGACAAATATAAAGTAAAGACAATGTTATGCAATGAATACAAAATGGGAAATTACAACCAAAATTCTTATTAGCGCTAAACCGTACAAGGGCAACAACTGAGTTGACAATAAATAATTAAATGTTTGCAGTGGGTTAAATACTTTGAGCATTAAGGTTAAATTGTCATTGGTCATTGATCTTCTGCGTCCAGCTCAATTCTAAGGTGTTAAAAGGTAGTTTGCAATCAAATGCATTAATACTTTGATGAAAATAGACTTTCATTTACTTTTCCAATTCTAGTGGCGGTATTCAAGACAATCATGGCTGATCTGTGAGTATAATCGCTTCCGCTTCACTTTAAAGTCTTCAAAGTATTCTGTAATACCATGTATTGGTTTTAATGATGTAAATAAGATCACATGTTTTTCTCTCTCTCACTAATACTCCAACAGAGCTGTGAGTATCTATCATACGTCATCTAGAAATGAGCTCTGTTCTCAGTCATCTAGTTTTTTACTGATGTAATGACAAAGATCAAATATGTAAATGCGTGCATAATATATGTGGAGTATTTAATGTTTTTCATGTGTGAATTATAGAAAAAATCCAAGATCTCCTCCTCTCGAAGGCTGGGGTTGAAGGCAAGTTTTTCTTCCTTTGATACGTTTTTAAAATCGATAAAATGTATTTATTATGGGGAACACATCGTTGTATATGCTCCCTGTGTAAACCTCAGAAATGGTATGTGTGTTGAGAAATAGATGATTCTCGTACAATGTACACACGTGTCAAATATGAACATATTTCCATGTAAATTGATCCAATATCCTTTGGCTGTCTAGAGTACATTTTTAAATAATTTTGACATTTTCCTTAGATTCGACTTTTGACCGTCGCTGGTCAGATGCTGCAGGAGGAGACGGAGCAGAAAGCAAAGGAAAGAGAAACTTTTCTGAAAGAACGAGTTCCTCCTTTAAATCTGTCTGGTCTGTCTTTGCAAGAGCTTCAGGTATTAAACTTTGTCCAAACATTCCAGTACAATCACTAATGTATTTCTTTCTAGTTTACTGTAGTATTCTGATCAGAAAAGATGGCGTCTTCTACTCTTGTTTTGTTTAAACAGGATCTCTGTAAAGATTTGCATCACAAGATTGAGGTTGTAGATGAGGAGTGGTATGATGTTGGACTCAAAGTGGCCAAAAATGAAAAAGAGGTGAGCTGATTATGAATGAAAATGAAAATACAAATGTCTTCACTGTGAAAACGTGCTCAGAACGTAAAAGAGCCGAATGTGAACAAACATTGCCTCCAGGTGGCGGCAGGAGACATAACAGCGTTAATAAAGTCTGATACAGTCATTTTGTTATATGACCAAACAATGCGCCAAATATATGCTGCAACTCAACACTGCACATTTGCCTTTTACAATATCAACAGAAAACTGAGATGAAATTCTAAATTCAATCTTAAGCATGATATTAAATGATAGTACTATAATATAGATATAGTACTGATATAATGAAAAATAAGGGGGGCAGTGTAAATAATAACAAATAAATAACAACGATTTGATAAAAATGACATTGTGGCTAAATAGACGGTAAATAAAATATTTGGTGTTGGGAAATCAGTCTTTCCTAACCAGAATCATCCGTAAAGGTAGCAACTAAAAAATGTATTCTTTAAATATGCTATTCTCACCAGTACAGAGTGCAAGATTTATGTAAAAGACCCTGAACAGATTAACAGTAAACTTTCAGCTCTCGGTTTGGGATTAAGTACTGATAGACGTATATTAATAAAGCCTGATGTTCATGAATTCATGGATGCATTTGAAAAAGCTTCCCTCTACATTTTGTTCACGTAAAACGTTTAATAGAAGTGAGGGAAATATGGTGTACTTGACTCCCAATGGTGAACGAAAAGGTAACTATGAATCCAATCTCCGTCCAGATAGGAGAAATGAAGCTGAAGGTCATTGAGATGCAGAGCAAGTTCAAGAAGCCGACGCTGAAGAGAGTGAAGATCTCAGCTGAGGCCATGCTGAGCATTCTGCTGGGCTCCAAACACAAGGAGTCCATCGACTTTAAGGCCAACCTCAAAACGGTCAAGAAGGAAGAGGAAAAGGTAACACGGGCTTCTGCTTCGGCGCCTCAGCAACCTTCAACTAATGGCTATTTTTGGTTGAAATAATCGGTCTGTCTGTGACGCCTTATGTTCCAAACAGAAAGAGGAAGTCACCGATTGGCGTAAGAACGTGGAGGCCATGTCTGGCATGGAGGGCAGGAAGAAGCTGTTTGACGCCTCCGGAAACTAAAGAAACATGTACCTTTGATTAAGAGATTATCTTCTTAAAATAAAGTCCCATGACTTACTGTTGTATACCAATATTTGACCAAGTACTACATTGCAGGTAGGACAAACACCAGGATAACCAGGATGGTTTCTGTGTTTACCCGCTTTGTCTTAGTGGTGCAGTGTAGGTCTCCTCTGCTGCCTTTGAGTGGCAGCAAAACACCATCAAACCATCACTCTGACACTTGTGCTGTGGATCTACAGTATAATAAGCTGCCTGCCGAGAAACATTGTTTGTCCCTCGGGAATGAACAAATCCTATATGTTACCTACAATTAACAATAACAAATATTCAAGATCTATTTCCTATTAAATACATGATGGTAGAAACTAAACAGCAAGAGTTGTTTATTGCTGTCAAAAGTGTGTAATCTTCATATTTGTATTTTGTACTTTATACAAGCATGAAACCAGCAATTTCGTCCCAATAAAACTGCTTTCTTCCACTGTGTAATCTTTGCATTTTATGTAGGGTCCAATTTTATTTCACAATTAATACGTAATACTCCTTTAAAAAAATCGAAGAGACTGAGGAAGCATCAGAAGTGGACGGACCCATTAAGATTTGATAACTCACACATGTGCTATATGAGAGACACGGCACAAGAGGGGTGAGGACAGAGGGTCTATTTTAGTGAGCCACTCACATGGGCGCTAGAATCTATATATCTACCCTCTTTCTGCCCTTCTCGACTCAGAAAACGTCGCTTGAGGGTATTTGTCACCTATTCTATAAGGTAAGGAGTTTTATTTTGAAACACTGCAGATCATGAAGGGATAAAATAGTAAATTAAGGCTTTTGGTTACAATAATGTATAAAAAAAACTACTGTATCCCTTTTCAAAAAGCGTGATTAATGTCAATTTCTGATCTAATTTCTTACAACTGAATTTAAATAGATAAAAATCTACACGGGTGTAAGGGAGTAGAGTTCCTTTTGTTCAGGTCTGAGATCCGCTGGCTGGAGTTATTAACGTGACATTAACAGTGTGGATTCACCTCTTTGCGACCTATTCATTATTACATTACATTACACATTTGAATTGTTTATAATTGTGTGTTGTTGTCATTTCACTGTAATGAAGAATTAACAAAACAAAAACAACATGAATGCGGCCCTCTGTGGTGTAGATGGTTTGTCTAATTTAGGCTTCGTTTTTTGAGAGAATTCTTTAAAGTGGTTGAGTTTGACCTTCGGACAATGTCACACATGTGTGTCCTCTACTGCAGAACTGCTACTTCTGCTGAACGGGATTCCTCAATCAGAAGTGCGGCTTTTTTCACAGTTAATTATTCCGTAAATTCTGTAAAATATAATTTCTTATTTCACTTTTCAGTTTCAGATTGATCTAACAAGGGGACACATCGAACTGCAACAATGTCTGAATCGTAAGCATCCGTGTCTCATTTACTGTCAGCACACCCCAACTTACTTGAAAACATTTCACAAATCTAATAAATTGCACATTTTCTTTATCTTTTTCAAATGTGAACGCAAACTCCCCAACTGGATAGATCGGTGAGTTATTCATTCGTTATTATGTTATTCCATGATTAACGTGCAAAACCGTACAGGAGACCCAACACTGGGAAAATCACTACCGTTGGATATTTTAAAAGTTGAACCAGATATCTGACATGTGCAACCTTTTCTTTTCCAGAAACCGAAGCCAAAAATCTCTGCGTCCCGCAGACTGTTCCTGAAGGTACGTTATGTGTCACCGTGTACTCTTACTCTCGAATGATAATGCTGATGAAGTGTTTCCGTGCGGTTCACCCCACATTGCCTGGTGGGCTGGGATGTAATTCTGCTCATGTACATGCACCAGACCAAACTGCTAAAGAAGGCCATGACTATGCTGGACAACGACAAGCAAGCCAAAAAAATTGAACGAGAGAACACCCTCGCTGAGAGAGTCCCGGAGCTCCAGCTGTCCAGCCTGTCTCTGCAGGATCTGCAGGTACGTTCATCAGGGAAGCATCAGGTTCTTCCCTGTTGTGGCTCTGGAGAGATCTGTCTTTAAACTACATACCTGTCCAAGCACTTTGAAAAAGTTGCCTTTTCAAAACCTGCTACTAATGGTATTCAGCCCGCAAACAATTACTATGGGCTTTTAGGATATCCGTCCAATCGAATTCTGCTGGCGACGAAACACAATCAAGCTGAATGTAACGCAGTTGGTGGTTCTCAAAGCATGAAAAATCTCATTTAAAAAGCTCAGCGGCTTTAAACTTTAAACAGCAAAGACTTTCAATTCAGCTCCGCGTTGAACTGAGAGCACACACACTGAGGTGCAGACCAGTGAAAGCATTTTGCCAAAGCGCGTTGTGCTAGAGGATCGAGTTGTGGTATTAAGTGTCGCACCGTCTGTGTGCATTGTTTCTTTGCTCTATCCATCTCTCCGTGAAGTCAAAACCAGTTATTTAAATTGCAGCAACTGGTATTCAAACCAGTCGAATAAATGAACGGTCTGTGTGTCTGTGTGTCCACAGAATATTTGCAAAGAGCTGCATCGGAAAATCGATGTCGCTGATGAAGAGCGCTACGACATTAATGCTAAAGTGACGAAGAACAATCTGGAGGTGACTACTATTTGTGAACAGCAGTTTCAGTAGCATCCTTTTATGTAAAACAACACGCATTTGGACTCGGACAGTTCTATGGCACCACTGAGGGTGCGTTTGTTCTTCATGTGGTAAAAAAAAAAAGATACAGGAGCTGTCTCAGAAGATCTTTGAGTTGAAGGGCAAGATGAAGAGACCTGCTCTGAAGAGGGTGAGGGTGTCTGCCGACGCCATGTTGGGAGCTCTGCTGGGCTCAAAGGTCAAAGAGTCCGTGGACTTCAAGGCCAACCTGAAGACTGTGAAGAAGGAGGAGGAAAAGGTAAAGGCTGCTGCCTAAAACTAATAGAAAGTAACACGGTGCCACATTGATTCAGTTCATTTACTCACTGAGGAAAGGAATAATGATAATGGATGACAATGTGGAGGACGTGAGAATGTATTTTAGGCAGTAATGTTCGGTGCATGAATTTCATTCGTCATATTAACAAGGAAGTATGTTTGCCAACCACGCAGGTTTTAGTCCGACTGGGCTGATTAAAAATGGTCTTTTCACCCCTGCAGAAAGAGGAAGTGACCGACTGGCGTAAGAACGTGGACGCCATGTCTGGCATGGAGGGCAGGAAGAAGCTGTTTAATGCTGGACAGTAGATTGTGTGTGTTGGAAAAACATTTGCTGCTCCAACAACAGGCAGAACAAGTGAAACTTTTGCTTACTCCATAATGAGAGTCGGTTTTTCGGAGTGAGTTTTTGGCACAGTTCATGTTTCAAGTGTATTGACAAAAGTAAAAGAGTCTAACTGTTCGATAATTCGTTCAATGCATATAGTTTTTTACATAACATATTATAAAAACATATGTATATATTAGAGCAATATAAGTTTTAACTTATATTAATACCATATTAACCATATTCATTTACGAACACAACTCCGCTTTGGCTGTTCAGGTCCCCTGTAGTAATGTTACTTGCTTGCTTTTTGGCCTTTGATTGACATAAACAAGAATTCAGAGTAAATGCTGATTTGTCTTCAAGTATAAATCGTATGCCCATATTATCCACAATAGTGTCCTATGAATTATGGACTTAGATGACAACTTAGAAGCACATTTCTGTACCTATGTTTCTGACAAGAATGTGGGGGGATGCACATTCCAGGAGTAACTTGTGTTGGGGTTCAACAGATGTGCATCCTTCAAAAGTTCATTCAGACGTTATGATGAGAAGACGCAGTGTTGTAAATTGTGGATCCAATAATAAAATAATCATTGATCAGTTTTGTGTTTTAAACCGTAATTCTGCCACTGCTCCTATAAATCACATCTGATGGTATTGCAGCACACTTTTATCTGCAGTGAATGATTTTATGATAGTTTTTACCGTGGTAGCTCTACCTTAGACACCACTGTTGTATTTAAGACAAATGTTGCAAATAAAATATTGGCACAGTTCAAAAACATGATTTATAATTTTAGTATTAATCTGAATCTTTGATTTGTCACTTCATTTACTTGAATAATCCAAAATGCATCAACTCATTCTCAATTGGTTTTCTGAAAATATATAAGCCTCACTACATCATCATAATCTTTTTTTCTATATATACATGAGAAAAAATGTCTTCAATGTAGAGACATCTTCAATGTGTTCAACTTAGCCTTATGGTTTTACTGTAGCGTTACACCGCGTTAGAGAGAGCAAAACAGTCGTCGTGTTAAAAAGTTACGCAGGTTTCATTTGTTTTAACGAACCGAACCGTACTTCCTCTCTAAGCACAAAGGCAACTCGACAACAAACCTCCTCAAAGAGGCGACGGTTAGCGGGCGGTCACGCCCCTTCTTCCCCTTCTTTCTCCCACCACGAGCAACGTCCCTACGCGCTACTACCACCCCTAATATGGGCATAGCATCTGACAACGGTACCGCCTCCGCGTGACATCCACCGCTCTGATTGGAGGAAGCGGTGGTCACTCATCAACGGTCCACGGGAACAACTGCTGTACATGGCCGAAGATTTACGACTGTTCCAGCTACTTTTAGGCCGGATTTAAAACGGACACAGGGTAAGGCGACATTTTCACGACATTCAGATTATTTGGGGATGGCTCCGCCACATACTCGTGTTTTTTTTTTAAACGTTGGTTTTGTCTTTTCATGTTACCTGGACCTGAGCGCCAAACGGTATTCTGTACACAGCAACACGTCCATCCATCCTTCCAGGCTGGCCGATAAGCAGTGCAGCACCATCCCAAAAAATGCCCGCGGAATTATACAGTAAAGATATCTTTGTCTCCGGTACAGCCCGAGACTGCAGCTAGCTAACTGCTGTAACGTTATATATTGATATATACACGCTATCACGCTTTTAGCTCGTCACTCTTATAAGACAACGTCTTTTGGTGCCACTGCGCCTGCGCCAGCGCCAGATCTCAGATCAGACACACGGACCTGTGGCCACCTGAGATAATACACTGGTATTGCATCATTTCCATTAACTTACTACTTGACTAACTATTCTGTTAATTTCTGCTGATCGTGTGAAGGTCTCCGCTTCTGGTGCTTCGGATGTCCAAGTACAGACTCTTTCTGCTGAGGCATGGGGAGGGGGCCTGGAACAAAGAGAACCGGTTCTGCAGCTGGGTGGACCAGAAGCTGAGCGAGGATGGGGTGAAGGAGGCCCGGGACTGTGGAAGACTCCTAAAGGAGCAGGGCTACAAGTTTGACTTGGTATTCACCTCCATACTCAGCCGCTCTGTTCACACGGCGTGGTTGGTGCTGGAGGCCATGGGTCAGGAGTGGGTCCCCGTGGTCAAGTCCTGGAGGCTGAACGAGCGCCACTACGGCGCCCTGATCGGCCTGAACCGGGCACAGATGGCCCTGCAGCACGGAGAGGAGAAAGTGAAGTTGTGGAGACGGAGCTATAATATCACTCCCCCTCCAATGGATGAATCCCACCCTTACTTCCCGGAGATCTACAACGACCGCAGGTACACCACTTGTGACGTGCCGAAGGAGAAGCTCCCCCGGGCGGAGAGCCTGAAGGAGGTCTTGGACCGGCTGCTGCCATACTGGGACAGCGCTGTGGTGCCAGAGATTCGGAAAGGCAGGACTGTGCTCATTTCTGCTCATGGAAACAGCTGCAGAGCCCTGCTGAAACATCTGGAAGGTATGCAGCGTACTGCCCTAAGCTATTCTAAACAGGCCTCTCTCTTAGCTTTTGTGCTCGTCCAGTAAATGCATTCAGGCTGCTGTTTGTAGTCATCACCATTGAACAGGGATGGACATATTTCAGTTCTGCAAATGGAAAGTTGAACTTGTGTATAAAGGCCAGGGAGTTTTATGTTACATTCGGCTGTGGCTATTAAGTGCACGCTGACCTTTTCATTAAAAGCTTTGGAGGCTCCTCATGGCGCAGGACTCCTTAACTTAACACATGTGGACTATTACCCAATAATATCGAGCATTTCTTAACAAACTTTCATTCAGCGTTCGTGCATGTCCGTTATCAAGCCTGGTCGTGGCTCCTTTTGTGTTTAGCGCGATCTTAATATCACTGTCTTTTATTTCAACAGGAATATCCGATGAGGATATTGTCAGCGTGACTTTACCTACAGGGATACCTGTGCTGCTTGAGCTGGATGAAAACCTCAAGCCTGTGAAACCTCGACAGCTCCTGGGAGACCAGGCAAAGATTCAGGTGGCAATTAAAAAGGTGGAGGACCAGGGAAAAGCCAAACAATCTACTTGAACACATTAATGGCTGTAAGATTTAACCTAGCTCGGTTCTGGTTGCCTGTACGCACTTTTCTTAGCCACAGGCACAGTGGGCATTGGTGAGAAGATGCAAATAATAATAATAATAATAATAAAGATGTATGACATCTTACAAAAACAGCACATTGTTAATATGATTTAAAGGAAGAGGTGACATTTCTGTGTATGTGTGGTTGTGAGTGACAGGTCAGACGGATGGCAGGAGACGGTACTGTACTGCCGTTGTTTCAGTGTTGCGTTGGATTTTGTCTAAGATGGGTTGTTTAAGCTAACTGTTACCACGTATGCCTGTATGGTGACCCTAAAGTGTTGGTTTATTTATTTACCTAGTTACTCAACCTTGTAGATCAACTGTAATGTGATGAAGTGGAGAAATGTTCCATTTTGTCCTACAGGGAGAGAGGAGAAGGGGATGTTACTTTTCTGTTACACTGATGAGCTTTAGGAATATTCCCCTGGATTTAAACATGTGCCTTCAGAGTTAACGTATCGCTCAAATTCAGCAGCTTAAAAAAAAAAAAGAAAAAAATCCAAAAAGCACTCCATCGACAAACCTTACCTCTTCATTCCAAGTGACCCCATGAAAAGCTGTAAATATGCGAAATCATTGAATTCGTCTTCTGTCACAGTTTCTTGTACTGTTAAATAGGAAGAGGAAGCGACATAGCAGAAGTTGTTTGGCCATGTGGTCGACAGAGCACAACCGTGACGAAACAGGTTGAGTTGAAAACACTGGTAATCTGGTGATAACTGTATTTTTGCTTTGCACTTTTGGGGGAGATTTTAGGAGTTTTTAAAATGAATCCCCCTTTCTAATTAAATACAACTGTGAATTGTGAATCCCATTACTAAATTCATAAGTGTGTCACGTCATATTGCTTACGTCATTTTGATAACCTGCGTGAAATTGGGCACAAATCCCGCTTTGAGTCTCACTTCCCGTCTTCTACTGCCATCTGATGTTACTACTGTGTGTGGCTTTGGCTACATCATTGTCTGCTGTATTGTGTGTCTCCTAGTTGAAGATGTACAGCACTGTGCATCATTTGACTTGTGTTTTTATGTCTTCTTTCTCTGCCACTTTTATTTTGTACACTTGTCTGTTAGGTCAACAGGAGGAGATCTGCTAAGCTAAGCATTTGTAGCCACTAAGGAAAACGTTGATATATTTGCAATTTCATGGATTACTTAATGTCTTCCCTGCTGTTCACACCTTACCCAATGAGAGCTTGTATGATGAAATAAAAGGACATTTTACTTTTCCCGAAACAAGGTTTTGCGTCAATTTCAAGCTTCATCTTCATCTTATCCGACCATCGGATCATTTCACAACAGGAAAGTGTGTCAGATGTGAATGACAAAGGTTTTCGTCAACCATTTAAATAGAAATCCTTTGCATAGCGTAGAAGAATTTACTGCAAAATGATGTAGAAAAGAAGCCACCCTGACACGTTTCTCATTTTCTCTGAAAGACTTCGATCGATGCTCCGTGTCATTTAAGAGCATATCCTTTTAGCCCCTACATCAGATTTAAATGACCAAGCGTCATATAATCTCAGAAATAACAGTGTGTTCAGACTAAAGGAATCCATGAGATTTAGATAGAAAAGATAAAAGACACACACACACACACAAGCGTCAGCCCGATGTGAAGTTGAGCAGGCGGGGCTGCAGGCTGCATGCTGTGCTTATAAACCTCTGGTCGCTCGCCCTCTGCTGATTTCCAGCAACTACGATCACTTCGGTCTGCCGGCCTGGTAAGTGTGACGATGACACCGCGTGATGCTTAATGACTGAAGTTAATGCAGAGAAAAAAGGGGGGCAACTTTTTTGTGGTCTGTGACTTAACGGGAGATTATTGATTTGTAGAAAGGGCTGTTAAAGTTGTTACTGGTGACGAGGGAGGTTTGTGTCTCGCCAACGAGTCTTAAGCTTAACCAGCTGCTTTAGATGAAGAACAGATGCTCTACATTTAACAAACTGCAACTTAATTGAACTTCGGTTTTGTGTTATGGAGGTACCTGCAATAAAAAGAGCATAGGAAGATGTCAAAAGGACTTGACTTGTGTCCATTTGCGTAAGATCCACAGTACGTGACTTTGTATTCTAAACAGACGTAATGTTCCTGAACTTGATTTAATGCAATGAAAGCCGATAAATCCTTTCAGTCGATGGTCGTAGGCTGAGCTCCGTATGAGGATCTTGAAATGTTATAAAGCTTTTCAACTATATGTCTGCAGAGGGACTGGAAACAGAACAGACTGCATCGAAGGTGCATACATATGTATAAGGAAGACAGGACTGCATGAAGCAACTAGCAGGCTGAAACACGCATTTTTGTTGCTATTCCTCTGCAAATTGCTGTCCCGGAGGCACTCGCATCGGCCCTGTCTGACAGCAGTGGATGCAGTGATTTGACTCCGATTTAGATACATTGTGCACACGTCCGATTGTGGAAAGGTTGTTTGTCGTGGAGGACGTGCCAAGTGAGAGTCCTATTCCTTAGATGGTAGTAAAGATCAAGGCTCCAACCCCATGCGGTGATGTGAGTTTATGACCACAGACTCTTTGGGGACTTGACACATGTTTGGGTTTGAGAGCATCTTCTCTCCTTCTCGGTTATTTCACGTCGCCGCCAGTTAAAACAGCTGTGTGAGCGTAAACGTTATTTCGAAGCATGTGAGCACACAGCGGAGATTTGTTTTAAAGGACACGTTTCGCTTTGTGGAACTTTTGGTTCCCCTTTTTAACAAGTGTGCCTGAGAGAAACACCAACGTCCACCGTGTTGCCGGTGACCAGAGAGAGCGAGACGTCAGCTTCCCTCCAAACCCAAGCAACAAGGTCTTTTCCAACAGTTTGAGTTGTGAGTCACATTTGCCAAAAGAGAAAAACGGGGCGATCCTGCTGCTGAAGTCGTTGCAGGCCGCAAGTGTTGCGTGTGACAGAGAGGGAAGGATGTCTGCTCTCCAGTCCTGCAGGGGGGGGACAATAAATAGGAGAGCAAATGGATTTCCACATGAACAAATTACGGGAGAGATTAGAGGTGAGCATTCGGACGTTAATGGGGTCATTCACAATCAATCAGTCGGCCATCGAGGCTGTAAGGAGAAATTCTATTCCTTTCATTATTACTAGAATGATTTAGAAGTAGGGTTTATTTATTTACATATCCAGCTGTTCCTTTTCCACTGTGTAAAACACTTGACATAGTCTGTTTCCTTTTATCAACCGTTGCTATGACAACCACCTCTCCTTCCAATCATGCTTTCTGTCTCCCAGCTGGGAAGATGCAGATGACCAATCACATTGGAAATAAGTTATTCTTGGATTGCCACTTTGTATAGCAGCAAGTATTTCCTAGAGTAAACCATGCTTACGGCCTGTGGCCTTGCACCTTGCCAAGCTGGGACACCACAACTCAACACTGCCTGTGTACTTCCTTAAAAGGAGGCAGAGTACAACATCTCAGCTGATGGGATGCAGAACAGGGAGAAGCACGGAGCTGCGTCTGTTTCCATCGACTCGCGGTCGCGTAGGAACCCAAAACTCTCCTTGAAATTTGAATGAATTTATGCTCTTTTGTTATTAAACATGTTTCATTGCAGTTTTAATGAGAACTCAGCCTACAGTTCTCCTCATTGGACATTATATTAAAAGCTGCAATTTTCCCTTTAAGCTACACCTGTAAGCTGACGATGATTGGCTCATTCAAACAAAGAGAAAAGGCCCCGTTGAGCCTGTTGAACTCTGCACGATGATGTTCAGATGCATCCAAACCCCCTCACGAAACAACACAACTGCTTCCCACCTATAATATACACAAACATACACACAAACATTTAACAACAACTGTATAACAACACAACCCGCCAACCAAAGGTACCTCGCTATTTTTTCTTTGGTGAACCCCTTTTAATAGTCTAACTGCATGTGTATATTATGTTTGTATATTGTCAGGAGCTACCTGGATCTTGAATTTCCCCTCGGGGATCAATAAAGTACTTTTATTCTATTCTATTTTATTCCAATGAGCAGCGGAGGGGCTCCCCACTACGGTGTGTTGTGGCTTGTAAACTGTGTGGAATTTGTTTCCTTGTCGGGTACTTTTTCATACGTGACCATGTTTGGTCATGTGGAGAAAGCGGCGGAGGCTTCTTGATTGATTGCGAACGCCTTTCAGGCGACTGTTTATCTGTAAGTGTGTTGAAGCACTTTCTGTATCCTTCAACAAGAACATTATCCTACAGAACGATATAAAGTTGTTTCAGGGACCTACAAGTATTTCATATAACAGTTATCCACTGCAAATTATACATATACTGTGTATATATACAGTATAAATACACACTCCATATACCTGTAAATGCATTTCCATCAACGGTCAAAGACAGATGTTGGCTTACTGGAAGCATGAACTACATCACATTTTGTAATAGTGGTTTGATGTTGATGGATTCACTAATCTACAGGCTCACAGTGAAATGAGTTACGTAGTCCCTCAAATCCCAAGTCTCTGTGTAGGAATGATACATATTTGTACCGGGTTGCTTGGTCAGGCTCTGTTTACTGGCAGCAAACAAGGCACTAAGGCACTAAGGTGATATGTTGGTTTTCACTTGAGCTTCACTAAATGAATTAAAGAAACAAGATCCAAGGTGTGAGTGAGCTCTGAAGGACTTGTTGTGGATTTAATTAGACCTTTTGACAGAGCCATGTTTCCATGCATCTGTTTCCAGTCTTTGAACTAAATCTCCAAGAAACACAGATTGTGTTTCCAAAAAAAAGGCCTTTGAAAGGCATCACTGATTTATTTATACAGAAGGTTGGATTAACAATCCCATTGGCCTGAGTCAAACGAGCCGCTTGGTTATCAGTGAAGTTATTGTTGGCTATTACAAGAGGACCCACAGTTACGGCTATAACAGCACTCGGGAGGAACAAGATGCAACAAAATGTCAGATTTAACAATGTCAGTTGGACTGCAAACACAAGAGCACTAAGACTCAAGCCCTTTTATGTTGGAATTCTTTGGCTTCCTTTTTGTAACAAATTGGATTGGAATTGTTTCAGGAAAGAGATTTGTTAAGTTTCAGATATCCAGCTGCCTGCACGTCTCCCCTAAACATGTGCTGATTGAATATACGAGACCCGCTTGTCAAACCAAAAGTAAATCATGCATTAGAGTGACCCGTTTAACAGCATGTTGCTTCGCTCTGACTCCGTTTGACGTCTGATTAATACAACTGCAGACACGGTGTAAATAAGGCAGTAATTACAAAGTACAAACAATATACAAACAGCGCACATGGTGTGTACACGATGACGGGTACCCAACCATTTATGTAATTAGGGGTCTTTTAGTGGGATGCTTTTACATTCTGGATTACACACCAAGCACTTACGTCCCATACGAGTTATAATAACCTTCAGTGGACCACTTGAGGAATTCTCAGGCTAAATCCTCGTTGGCTTCAGAAACACAGGATTCAAATATGGGCTCACTGTGATTTAATTAATCCCGTATTATAGGTCGAACAAGCCTGGTTCATTAATCCATCCCTTCAATATTAGTCATTGAACTGTATTCAAATGATAGACATCACATCACATTACAGATGGTGTATTCAGTAGATGCTTTGCAGCTGTGGCCAGCGCTGTATTCTTCCTCCTGAACGTGCTACATCAACTCTTCAGAGTGAAAATGGGCATTTGTCTTTGAGCGCATGAGCTTCCAATCAAAACTGCCTCCAGGAAGCTACGGGTGAAATACTGAAATGTAAATGTGGTATTTAGGCATTGGTCAGAATGCACACGGTCTGCATCTTCACACCCGTCCCGACTGGATTTATCCAGCAGCAGTTGATGGAATCACTCGGCCGTCGGTAAGCCAACGACGAGGTTACGTTGCTGTGAAAGCAGAGTGACCCTGTACCCTGGAGAGAATTTCCCCATCTGAAGGGAGACAAATCCTCTACAGATGTATAAATAAGAGACTTTCCCTGATTTATGAACCTGATTCCGACTCATGACAGGAACACTACGAGAACCTTTGACACGTCTACACATGAACGACGGCTTTACTTGTGGAGAGTGGAGCTTACAGAGACTTTCTGTGTCACAGATTGTACATGCAAACATTTATCGCTTTAATTTAAGGAGGACTATGTCCAACAATTCACCTTGTTGAAGGGGGGGTTGGACAGCTGTAATGTTGAAGATCATTGCTCAGTGTGTGCGTCTCGGCGCGTTCATCCACATTTGTGACCCACGGTGGGGGCAGGAAGGTATTTGCGTAGCTGCCAGAGTGGTGAGTTTTTCGCCTTTTAGAAATTGAGTCCTTTGACGGCGGACTGGACCCGGGCCAATCCAAACAGTTCTGGATACCGACTCGTGACATGCGCGCGAGCTGTTAGCCTGGAGGTCCGTCAGTCCTTGTTTGTTGCTCCGTAGAGTCCATAGTGCTTAAAGACAGAGCAGCTTTTGTCCCTCCCAGACCTTAATTGGTCCCATGTAAGAACCGCTGTGAGGGAGGGAGACCGTTTGTTTCGTGTTTTATTGGGAGATGAATGATGTCCCTTTTAACTTGGGTTGAATGAAAAGACAACCTTTTAATGCAAAATGCTTTGCCAAGAAATATAACCCCCAACAAATGAGGGTTTTTTTCATAGTTGTATATGTCTTCATATCACAAGTTGGACACATGGCTCTGGACGTAGAGAGTCCAAGAGCATGCAAGCAGCTGCTGCATGGGATCTGTAGGCCTTTGAGCTAAGAGCTGACTGCAGTATTCTGACAGTTTTACCATGTACAGCAGATCATCCCTGTTTAGCACGATAACATTGCCTAATTAAAACTGAACTCAAAGTACAGTGTAGACGGGTGGGAGTTTCATCAGTTTAAAGCCATTTGGTATTGAAAAAACATTCCATTTCATAGCAATTCATCCAGAAAATTGGAGTGTTACTGTTACTGTTAACTTTATATTTCACTGGTGATGGTTAACCTTGTGGTTCACTAGTAAAGTAACTATTTGAACCTGTCGGTGGAGCTAGATAACGAGTGGAAAGATTAACGGTAAAGGGATTAATTGACTGGAAACGCACGTCTGTGTAGAATTGAATTCCATTTCACGCGTTGTACCGACCAGCCAGTTTGTTTCCTCCTCATTCATGAACCTGACAGATCGTACAGACCCGAATGTTTTACACCTTAGTGACAAACACCGAAACTGTTTTATTCACAAGCTATTTTGGGTTCCGATAAATCTCCTTCCTGTTTTCCAGGAAAGGAATATGTAAATGCGTGCAGTCCTTTTCCAGGAAAGCTCTGACACGTCTTCTTACCCACGTAGTGGATATTTTATAAAACGCTTTTGTTTTTGAGCTTTTGCGACTGCATTGGGCATCGGCCTAAAGCGACCGCTCGCTGTTGGTGGGCTACTCTTCTGAAGATACAGATAAATAGACAAAGGGATGACCTCTTTGGGACACTCTATGTGGTACTTCATAGATTCAACAATGATAATGCTTACTATACTTACTATGTGTATGCAATAAAAACGTACTAAAAGAGAAGAGTGGGATGAGCGCTTGACTCTGTGAGCTCATCGCGTGTCACAGCGTTCTTTGGTTACTGTTATAGAAGAAGACTGGTAAACGCAGGCTAGATGTCTTCCTCATGTCACAAGTCTCCTGTTTCACCCACTGTCTTTGTCTTTCTATGTCTGTGAAGTTGTGAGTGGACGTATTAGGGTTCGTGGCCCTACAACTCAAAGCCGTATTGAGCTTTGGCTTCCAGAAGAATTTAAAATGCAAGAAGAAAGAATTTAAAATGCAGAACTTCCTGATGCTCCACTTGTTTGTTCTACAACAGTGAATATAGAACCTGTAAAACAGGGGTGTGAGACTGCTTTCAGGTTGGGGCCAGATACTGCCCACTTTGATCGAAAGGGGGGGTGTAGACATTAGTGTGACTTACTGAGCATTCCACAGTGTTGTTTGATTTATATATACAGTACATATTAAAATATTGTTCAGATGTGCATCGTGAGTATATCGAGTTGTGTTATGTATTTTATGAGTTTAGATATTTTATTGCCAGTTGGGCGTCTTTGTGGAGATTTCTTTTCTTTTTTCTCAATTCGATCAATGGGTGTCGGCCAGATTTAATAAATATTTCAGAAACAAATCTTTTTGTTTAGCGGCGGTAAACGGAGGGATCTGTGCATGTGTTTCATTAGAAAAGTCAAATGGAATGAAATTTTCTTTGCTCACTGGCCGGCGGTTCGGAGCAAGAACGTTGAGGGATTTCAAATTTGGTGGCAAACAAAGCTGCAGTAAATCAGCCACAAAGAGAGACAGCAGGATAAAACAAGACAAGTGGAACAAGCAATTTGAGAGTAAAGTCAGAGATCAGGGAGGGGGAACTGAGACAGTGGGAGAGCAGGAGTCAGGTCGAGGAAGAGGAGGAGGAGGAGGAGGCGGCGGAGGAGGGAGGCAAGGAGAGGAGGAGAGGGGACCGGAGAGGCAGGCTTTTCCTTTTCTGGTATTTCAAGTCGCTGAAAGAACAAGCAGGAATTCTTTGCGCTGCAGAAGGGCTGAGATATAAACCAGGCTGTAGAGGTTTATATACGAAGGGAGGGGAGACACGGCCGTCCATGGAATAAACTCCAGCTACTGCTACGGTATTTTAAGTTTCTCCTCATGTCCTCAAGCTTTCCTGCTACAGATTTGGAGCTCATTTTCATTTTTTAGCATGGAATTTCGTTGCAATGACGATTGTGTTGATCTTGTGGCTGTTAGATGCAATGTACTAAAAAGTACTACTCAAACAATGCAGTTATCAGAGGACTTTCTAAGCATGTATTCGACAAACTAATCGGGGCGTGATTGATCCAACTCTCCTAATCCCGATCTTGTATTTGTGTCCTTCAGTGAGAAAGTGTGGAGAATCTTTCTGGGCATCATGGACGATGACTTTGAACGCCGCATGGAGCAGAGGAGGCTGAGGAGGGAGCAGATGCGCGTCGACACTGACAAGTGAGGGAACCATCTGACAATATAGAAAAGATAATACGCAAACACGCAGAAGTCAACACATAATTGAATGCATGGTGAAGTTGTACAACATCTTAAATTAAAGCCTCATTTAGTTAATTGTCTTACAACTTTAGCTTTAGTATATCGTATTTGACATATGCAGTGTATGCAAAAGTTACTGCAGTTGTTCCTCTTCTTCCAAAGTCTTGGAGACAGATGCTCAGTGATCGAGGATTTCTGTTTGCATCTGTGTGTCTGTCTTGGTGTTTTTGCACTTTTGCATGAGGGAGTTAAATTGTGCGTCTCCACATGAGCAGAGCAGACAGGACTCGGTGATTGAGAGGCGACGGCGGCTAAATGAGCTGCACTGACTTTGCTGCTGTTTGGATCATTCTGTCGCTATCTGTCGTCTCCCTCCCTCTCTGTAAATGATCAGATAAACATCACAATAGTGATGAAGAGTTATTGCTACCTCATAACCAGAAGAAAAGGAAAGTGATGAAACATTCAAGGGAAAGCAACTCAAACTGGAATGTCTTTAAAAAGTGACACACTGTGCAATTGTTGAGCCACAGTTTGAATCACAAGGTGAGCAAAGGGGTTTTAACTACATTTCCATCCCAGCCCTCCATCCCCCTTGTTGCACTGGGTGACATGTCCCTCCATCACGATGAACCTGATGCTCTGGTTGGTTTTTATTCCCATCCAACTGCCTGTCAATCCACAGCTGAAAATAGACCCCAACACATGATCTTCATGCTGCAGTCTGTCGCTTTGCACAAAAGCCTCCTCAGCTGGAATGAATGGCAACGGGACTAACGGGCAGGTTGGAAAAAAAGAGATTGGACTGAAGGTCGGTTGATCTTTCCCCTGGATTTGAAAATGTCAATTTAATCAATCTTTGCTCAACTCGTTATTTCCTCCAGTTCAGAATTCAGCTTCTGTCTTATAAAATTTGCACTCAACGGAGCCGGTGGAAAAAGGCAAATCCCGGCTCATATTCTCACAGTCCTGCCCAGCCGGCGGTGCCAACCCGGCCTGCCCTCAGCCCCCCCCCTGCACGGCCCGAGGAAATGCTGCAGACGCTGGAATGTTTTTTTATCCCAGCATGAGATCGGCTGCTCTCATCGCTTGAGACTGACAGCTCGTCTGGAGTTTTTCCTTCTCCTCTTAGCCAAGGAGCTCTCATCATATTTCCCTCCATGCTAAAATACTTCACGTCTCTCTGGTTGTTTGTCTAGAAATGTAACTGCATCATTTTAGCGGAATAATATCCAATTGAATCACTTGCTGAACCATTTATCGGTGCCAGCCATGCCAGGAAAACGTTCGCCTGAGGATTTGTTGGATTTCTGTTTGGAAGGCAGAACGGACTCTAGCGGTTCCCATCGGATCTTCCTCTCACAGCATCTGTAAATCATAGTGTTGCGGTTCCAGGAAGAGCAGAGGGAAATAATACCCATTCTCTGTCCATGGGCCACTTCCAGCTCCCCCGTGCCTCTTAAAGCCCGGTATGCTGGGAAAGATCCCGAAAGTCTCCCAAGTTGGATGAAAGTCAGTGGCAGGATGTGGGCAAGATGAGAAGGCTTGAAAGACAAGGGCATTTGTTTCTTTCATTAATAAAGCCAAAGAGGTATTTTCTTTGGAAAGTTCTGGATTTCTTTGAGGTTTCGGTCCCGGACACATGCAGTGTACGATTCGTCTCTTATTTTGGTTTTTCCCCTCACTCGTAACGTCTTCAACGTGCGTGGCTGATATCAGTGGTTCACAATGTAAATCTCAGGGATCTTCAAATGTGTCCATTACATAAAGTACTCTCAACCCAACCTGACTAAACTCCCCGTAGTGGAATTTCAATTGTCTTATTTCGGATTCAAAGCACCCGGCATCAACGTGTAATGTGACCCTGTGTGATGTCTCAGGGACGGTTACACCAACGACGATGAGGAGGAAGCCCGGGAGCAAAGGAGGCGTGCGAGGGAGGAGAGGAAGAAGATGAGGGACTCAGACGAGCCTGGAGCCACTGACGGGATCGACACAAACAGGTGAAGGCCTCAACTAGGCAACAATCGTCGATAATCCATTTTCTACTATTCTCTTTGGTACAAAAGTGGATTTCCTGTGCTTACAGTGTGGAGACCACCGGCGGTGAAGGCGCAGATGACGACCAGGCCTTGCTGGAACGGCTGGCTAAGCGGGAGGAACGCCGCCAGAAGAGGATGAAGGAGGCCCTGGAGAGACAGAAGGACCTGGACCAAAGCGCCAGCACCAACGGCACAGAGCTCCCTCCCTCCCTCAGACAGCGGGACACCCAGGAAGAGGAGGAGAAGCAGGAGGAGGAGAAGCCAGCCCAGGAGGATGTGGCAGACGCCGATACCGACCGCTGGAGAAAAGGAGAAGAAGACAAAAAGGAAGATGAGAAGGTCAGTAAGGATTTGCAGAGTTATAGTCTTTGAGATTATTCTTTTTAGGTTTATTTTCTCTCAGCAGGAATCTGTTGAGGGATCAAGAACAGAAAGCATAAGAAATGAAGGAAGGCCTCTTATCTCAACTCGCTGTCAACTGAGTAATGATGATTTACACTTACAACACTTTATTTTATAGGAGCAGATCAAGGAGAACGCTGCCGCAACAGAAGAGTTTGAGCAGCCTGACGTAGGAAAGAACGATGCTGAAGAGGAGGCTGCTCCTCACGTTGACAAGGAGGAAGAAAAGTGGAAGAGGAAAGAAGAAGAAATGGATGAAAGGCTGAGGGTGGAGGAGGAAGAAAGACAAAAAGGGGAAACAGAGGAAAAGCTCAAGAAAGAGGAAGAAGAACGGCAGCTAAAAGAGGAGGAGGAAATGAAGAAAAGGTCAGAGGAAGAAAAAGAACAAAAGGAAATGGAAGATAGGCTGAGAAAAGAGGAAGAAGAAAAACAGAAACGGGATAAGGAGGAAAAAATGAAAAAAGAAGAGGAGGCTAAACAAAAAAGGTTGATGGAAGAAAAACAGAAGAAAGAGGAGGAGGACAAACGAAAAAAGGACATCGAGCAAAAGAAGAAGAAAGAAGAGGAAGAAAAACGCCAGAAAGAGCTGGAGGAGAAGAAGAAAAAGGAGGAGGAGGAAAAGCAGCAGCTGCAGCAGCAGAAGAAAAAAGAACTGGAAGAGAAGAAGAAAGAGGAAGAGGAAAAGCGTAAAAAGGAGGCAGAAGAGAAGAAGAAGAAAGACGAAGAGGACAAGCGCAAAAAGAGGGAGATGGAAGAGAAGACAAAGAAAGAGGAGGTACTGATGTCATTTATTGCATCGTGCCCCTTTAAAAAGACGGAAAAGTCAAATAAAAATCTGAAAGTTCCTGTAAAGTCTGTAAAGTAGCGTAATATAGTTGTTGCCCTTCAGATGAAGGATCCTGCAGGTATTTGCCGTGCGTACAGTTTACGGTCATACACCACTGAGCAGGGACAGCGTTTTGTTCGATCGATGATGTCACAGCATGTGTCCCTTTCCTTCAGTCGTTACCTTGAACCGCTGTTCGGTGCAGGTTTTCTACATCATGCGCTTTGACCGTTTGTCTTCTCTGTCAATGACTGTGTTGTTTTCCGTGGAAAGGAGGAGAAGCCCAAAAGATTTGGTTTTAAGGAAAAGGTAAGATGAACACGTCCTCTAAACATAAATGATTTATATATTCTTTTGAAATATCAAAGCTGCGAGGAGGACGAGGCTTCGGTAGTCAAACGTTTTCCTTTCTTTTGGCAGAATGAAGCGACCAAACAGAACGGGGGACTCTTTGAGAATAAACTTAAGAAAGCCGAGAAGACTTCGAGGTAAAGTTATCCTTTTTTTTAAGAAACACCGCGCGCTCGTGCACATGCGTGTTGATCACCGAATGGCCGTGCACGTTTCGCTCCGCAGGGACATTGTTCCCTCCAACAAGGCCGGCGGAGCGGAGCAACAGGAGGCCGAGCGCAAGCTGCAGGAGCTGAAGCGCCGGCGAAACGACGCGGAAAGCGAGGATTTCGAGAAAATGAAGCAGAAGCAGCAGGACGCGGAGGCTGAGCTGGAGGAGCTGAAGAGGAAGAGGGAAGAGAGGAGGAAGGTCATGGAGGAAGAGGAGAAGCAGAAGAAACAGGAGATGGAGGACAAGAAAGCCAAAGAGCAGGCGAGGATGGTTTCTACGTTGAGGACGAAAGGCATCGTCGCGGCTTCGTTTGGTTCGGGACTCACAGGTGTGACAGCGAGTTTTTTTTTCCTAACAGGAGGAGAGGAAGAGGATGAAGGAGGAGATAGAGAAAAGGAGGGCGGAGGCCGCGGAGAAGAAGAAGCAGAAGGAGGAGGAGTCTCCGAAACCCGCCTTTACGGTCACTCCCAAAGGCTCCTCAAAGGTGAGTTTCAGGTGACTCCACAACAATGAGTATCATATTTATTTATGAAATGATTCTAACTCTTTGAGCACCACAAAGAGAATTTGTCTGCCTCGCATTGAGGGAGAGAACTTGCAGATGAAACTTAGCTCCACAGGTGAGGGAGACTTTACATAGCTAGCGTATCAGAATGTGAAGGGAAATGTTGAAAAAGAAGCATACCGAGACGACATTTTGTGAACCACACTTATTCTTGGCGAGAGTTGGGGGACAAGATTAAAATCATATTTCCCAAAAAAGCTACCAGCTCGCTTTCATAGTTTAACAGGTCTGCTTCGTTATCTCAAGTTGTGAGACATTTTTACAGTTTAATGTGCTTGTGTTTTTCCCTTTTCCACTTCAAGTCGCCTGGCATTTCCCAAATATTTTTAGATGACAGCATTAAAATAAGATGGGAGCGGGCTGTTCTCAAACACAGGACTGTGACTGGGTCATTTTCTAGAGTATTTTTAGAGGAATGTCTCTGTGCACTTACTTTGGGAGGTATAATTGATTCTTAACAGCAGCACTAGTGTGTGTGTGTGTGTGTGTGTGTGTGTGTGTGTGTGTGTGTGTGTGTGTGTGTGTGTGCCCGCTGGCTCCATGAATGCATTACTCTCCAATCACTCAAGCACAGAGAGACCTTCCCAGGCCGCTCTGCTGCTCTGTGAGGTTGTCTTGGGGACGGGAAGGAGTCCAGGACAGTTTAATCATGTCTGCATTTATTTCTGCAAGTCACCCAAAGACTGTTTATAAACTGAAAAAGTGCTTTTTTTTTTACAGATCGGGGCAAAGGCAGAATTCTTGAGCAAATCAGCCCAGAAAAGGTGGCCATAAAAACTTTCCAGCGACTAATATCTACATAAGTGAACAGAAAATTGTTGAGCAGCGCTAATGTCCCATGTGTTGTTTATCCTCACAGCACCGCGGCCCGAGGGTCTCACACGCCAATTGTCTCCAAGATAGGCAACAGACTGGAACAGTACACCTCGGCCATCCAGGTGAGCCCCACTCATCATCCGTTTCCCTGAACCTCGCTGGTAATCAGGTACTTCAACTAAAAGGACAAATACAACATAGTAAAATCACTGTGTGAAGGAACCTCTGTTCCACCGGCCCTTGCATGTCGTTGTGCAATGACAAGTTGAATCTGAAACAGAATTACGTGAAAAGTTCAAAAACCTAACTTAAGTTAAAGCACAGAAGTATTTTTGAGAATAAAAGTATTCATTTTCCAAGAAAAAGTCAAAAATGTTTTTGTGGTACGTTATGCGTCGATGGGAAAGTAACCTTTTAGCACTGTAGTTTGTCGAGGAGTTTGATTAAAGACAAATCTAAAAGGGGCCTTGAGATGATTAATGAAAAAAAAGAGAGAAAATGATATGAACCCAAAACACGCAGCCTTTATGGTGCTGTTCCAATGCTTTTGTATTTTATAAGCTTATTCTGTTTTTAAAAAAAGCAAAAATTAGATATCAAGTAACAGAAAAAAGTAACTGTAAAGCACAAATTCTGAGACTTGTTCCTTAATTTAAATGTGTTCCACCACTTTGTTCAATGTATTTTTATTTTGACCCATTTAAAAGCAGATAAATCCTCCCTCTACGTCCACAGGGAAACAAGGAGGTCAAATCCCCAAAGTCTCCCATGGCGGATATTCCAACAGGAGGTGCACGCAGCATCAAGAGCATGTGGGAGAAAGGCAACGTCGGCGGCTCCTCTGATAGTCCGACTCCTGCCAACAAGGTGCCACCGAGCCGCCGAGAGGGCCGCTTAGACAGATAGACAACCATTTCTAAATTTGAGCTGTCTCTTTTTTGTAATCCAGGATGTAGCTGGTGTCAAAGGAGGCGTGGCAGGACGCATGAACAGTTGGATGGCGAAGCCTCCACAGGCGGAGAAGATGGCAGCGCCCGCGGCACCACTTGCAGCAGCAGCAGCACCAGCACCAGCAGCAGCAGCAGCAGCAGCAGCAGCACCACCTGCAGCAGCAGCTAAGCCAGCAGTAAGGCCTGATAAATCCTGGTCTTGATCACACACACGCAGACACACACCAGTGTTAACTAATCCCAGTGATCCCTTGATATTCCGCACACGCTAATGTGCTGATTTGCACATCAACGTCTGGTCTTTTGTTGGCTGCAGCTTTCATGTATCCGAGCACGGAGGCTGCGAACCGTTCGCGTCCGGAGTGCAGTGACACCACATGGACAGTTTTCTTCACAACATCTTTTATTCTGAAAAAAAAAAAGAATGCTATTCTCTACACAATATGAACGTTTTTATTTATGTGTTACTGCACAAACTTGTGGGGAATCACTCGTTGGAAGAATAATAGTAGTTTCATTATTGGACAAAAAACACAAACAAAGACATGTAACCACAAAGCACAGAGCAGCGACATTAATATGTCACGTGGCTGAATGCCAACATGCTCCCTTCGCACGGCTGTTCCTACTCCCCTCAATACATCAATCACTTCGGCCTCTGGGGGTATTTCAAGATTATTTTACAGCTCACAAAACCCATAAACCACTTTCAAATGCTTATCCAGGATATTGGACTCCTTTTAATCCAAAGAATAATACATTTAACTTCCACTGTGACTCAATGGTTGAAGTCTCCTCCACACAAGGGTGAAAGGTCATATCCCCTTACATTCGTCAAACACAGGTACATGTTAGTCCTTTATGACACCACCAGCAAAACAACACAACAAGTAAAGAAGTTGAATGATTCATAGGTTTGTTTTTTACCATTTGCCCCCAAAGAATACCGGAGGAGCCGTGTAACTGTGAGCTGTACTCGGTGAACACCATGTCCCTTTCTTAAAGTAGCACAGCAGCTGCTGACGCTGCCAGGTCTTCTGGAGACATCGCACTATGCAGCATGTCTGGATGACGTGTGACATTGTTCTCACGTGAAATATACGAGCAGGATATCTTTAGTGTCAAACGTCTTGGCCGGCGCAGGAGGGGTTGTAACCTTAGTGCCAATTATGTGACAATACCTCCCCCTAAAGGGATGAAGCTGTACAGCGGAGACGTGTCTAATGTCTGAACTCTCTTTTTGCGGGTTTAATGACTTGTTTCATGCTCTTCTGCCTTCCTTTCCTTCTCCCACTTGCACTCATTTCCTCAGCTTTCGTCACTTGTCCTGCTGTTCTTTGCCTAATTCTCCCCAAACGGGTAAAAGCACTATTTTGCATATATTTCATACCCACTCTAATTAAGAATCAGAATCTTGAGTTAAATGTAGTACCTTTACTCCATTGCATGTATTTTACAGCTTTAGTTACTCATGCAAACATTATATTACATTAAGCTACCAAGTGATATAACGTAGTGAAAATGAACCCATTTTCTTAATAACTGGAACTTACTTTTGGTTTTGGGGAAAGTGACTTAACTCACTCAGGTAAACATTACTCCTTTACATAGATCATATTTATTGGATGCTAGATTGCTGTACCTGTAGTTATATTTTGACTATTGTTAAAACACTGATGCGTTGCTGCCTGCACTTCTGTAAAAGCACTTTAGCATCCGACTAACGCAGTCACGGTTGTTCTTCATCGTGACAGGAGGTGAAAGCCGGGGACATCGGTAACAAACGCGGCATGTGGGAAACCAAGAAGAGCTCTGCACCTGCAAAGGTGAGACACCTGTACTGCGAGGGAGGCGGGGGCGCACTGTGTAACGGCTCTGCAGTGACACGGTTCTGTTTGTTTCTTTCATTCAGTCTACCTAATAGAAAGGGGAACGAGGTAATTCGTGAATCCCACTGAATGCACGTTCCCCCGACACGGAGTGATTGATCTTTGTGGTGTTCACGCTGGTTTTATGCCCCTTCCTCTGTGTGCATATGATCGGGATCCGGATTGGTCGGTGTCGACCCAGTTCCACCATACTTTTTCTTAGACTTTGCAAGTGAAATTTGTTTTTGGTGGGTTGTGAATATTTTGCGTAACCTTTTGTACCATCTGGGGGATTTTTCCCGCCAGCAAAAACTTGAGTTCATTCAGCTCCGCTGAAGAAAATTCAGTCCGATCGTTTAACCATCTAACGTAACATAGATGACAAACAACAAAGAAATTGGGTTCTAAACCCTGATTTTTCTTATTTTATGTCAGTCCGGTTTGGCAACACTTTATACTTTGTTTTTCTTCTTTTAATGTCACTCAATTCAGAAGATGAACACATATTTCACTAAAACCTGTTTGATGTTCGTGATGACACATAATGTTTCAAAAGGTCCTGGCGAGATCTGTGTGTGTGTGTGTGTGTGTGTGTGTGTAGTATTAGTGTTTTTGGCTGAACAGAGGGTAGTCTAATGTTTCTAAGTGAGCAGTGCAGAGTATTTTAATTTCCCATCCAAAAATATTCTTGTGTCCAACAAGCCATAAAAGGCCAGAATGCAGACGGACCCATCTCGTATTCATTAAGTACATTTACTTTTTATGGTCATCTTATGATGACAGATCTTGAAGTTGCTGTCAGTCGTTCCCACCACGGGTTTGAGGACATGAAATTTCATCTTTGTCTCTGTTTTGTCATTTGAAAGAAGGATTGTGATCAGCTACTCCTGGATGTTTTGGCTGCACGGTGCACAGCTTTAGCAGGATATTATGATTGAATGCATGCGGTTGTGTTTCACTGCTGTGTATGATGCATTTGTAAAGTCTGGAGTGCTTAAGAAAAATACTGTGTAACACATTTCATCCATTGTTATCAGTACATATTTTGCATATGAAACAGCACTCTTTGTTTCTTCTCTTTTTCATTGCACTTTTGCTTACAGGTGGCAGTCGGAGGAAAGAGCAAGTTTGTCACTAATAGTAAGTATCCAAGTGACTGTAAATAGTGCTTCATTGTAGATTCATTCGAGGGCTGTCGTAAGAATCTATTTTAAACTTCTATTTATCAGCAGAAGATATTGCACCACAGCCACGGTTTCTTTCGCTGTGCTATTAATGAAAGTCTTTCAAGGAATTGACAACAACAGCAATTCACAGTTTTGCCAGAAGTTAGATGAGAAGATAAATAGCATTTCCATATCAGAGACTTCTCAAAGCAAATTCTCAACAATAAGCAAACAATGGCTTTTAGTTCGTTTTGCTGAAGATGCTTTACTCATGGAACATTTGGGAGATCTTCACGTATTTCCATTTCAGGCTATTTAATTAAACACATCTTCCACCACTGCCTGTAAATGTGCACATACTACAATCAGGGTTTATCTAGATCAACCGGATAAAGAGTTTAGATGAAGCGTCTGTATCCTTCGACCCATTTTGTGGTCGAAGCTCACGCCTGATTCACGGCCTTCTGTGGACTCGACCGCCGCAGCGCAAATAGCCGCTCATTGTAAATCAAATCTGCTGCTGCAGCTTTTTTTTCGGGCGCCGGCTCAACTCTGTGACACTGCGGTCTATATTTAAGAAGAAAAAAAAAAAAAAAACCCTCACCCTGACCTTGTGTCCCAGTATAAAGGACCTTCCAGACTCCTGGGATGGCTGCCGTGTCTTTGCAGTGCTCTGGTCACCCGCTGCCACCTGGGCCTTCCAATGGCGCGGTGTTGGCGAGTTGTTGGACATACCACAGTGCAGCTGCTTGATTTTCACATTAAAGCTGGCTGCTGGGGAGGATTACTAGCTGTTCAAGTAGCTCAAGTGGAGCTATAGCGCCGGGCTTATTCACTCAGTGCGGACTATAAAGACAAATCCATGCAGTCTGTGGGTTTGCATGTTTAATTATGGAGGGGAAAAAAAACACTCAACGTCCGCTGAAGCAGAAAAAAGCTGTCTGTCTCATTTGGAAAAACAAAGATATCTTCAGACATTAAGCACCCGAATGTAGAACCAGAGCGTGAACAATAGGAATGGAAACGTGTTTGTCGAGTGTCAGCTCGGACCCTAAATAGCGATCCTTGTTTATAACCTCCCCGCTTCTTCATCAGAAATAGACCGCTGAGGAACGAAGGGCAAATGACAAAGTTACAGCTTTCGATCACACAGACGGTTCCTGGCTGTGACTCCCAAATGGAAAAGGAAATACGTAGAAGTCCGGATGTAAAATCATCGATTTTACAACCCTGAAAATAATATTGTTAATTATCACCTAAACTGACAAGTTTTAAATGCAACATTGACTCATAGATCTCTGAAGTCTGCCTCTCCCTCCGTTAACAGGTGTAAGACCCTAACCATTGACGTCCCCATTTCAACCGAGTGTCACCAGGCCAAACACAAAGCTCTGCTGCTGCATGTGCATCCATTTCCCTTCGACGCTGCCGCTTCGCATGGAATTCCCACGCAGTGAGGAAAAGACGGGGGGCCGGGACGAGTGACCCCAGGATCAAAGGCTCCACGTGTTTGGTTTTTTATGAAAATACTGATGTTTTATCAGACTCGACTTGACTAGGAAACTCAAAGAAGGTTTTCACGTCCATTTCTTTAATCAAAGTTACAAATTCCCTGTGATGCTTAAATGTTATTTTACTTTCAAGCCACACTGAGATATCTGCTCTCCTTGTATTTCCATGTAGCTTGGACTCCAGAACAAGCACTTGTGTTTTGTGGTTGTAGACACACTGCTTTTTGGGATGATAGTCACTATTTTGAGTCCATGTGATAAACCTAATGTCCATCTCACCGCTTGCGTTTGAATTATTAAACCGACACTGCGATAGATGTTGGCTGAGTAGCCTGTACATAATTGAGTCATTTCATAAGTAAGTCCCGTTCATTACAAAGCACCCTTCGTGAAGGCATTATAGTAACTAATAACCTCATTAATAGTTAACCAGGGCTGATGTTTGGGTTGGCGAAGTTGTGACTAAATGCAACATGAACTTTGGGGCTCTCCGGGTGGAGATGTCATTGGGTCTCATCGTCTACCTCTTTGGTCTAGACTGAAAATATCTCAACCATTGATCAATTTTGTCAATGGTCCACAAATGATGGATGGAAGGGATTGTCATGTAATTTGGTAACACACAACGATGATAACGTCCCTCATCAGCTCAGGATTGGGTTTGTCTTATTCATGGATTATCAGCTGTTATGACGGCCGACTTCATGGCTTATTAGAAACTGAGTAACAAACCATTAGTAAGTTTTAAACCAGCCAGATAGACGCATTGTGCAAACATTTCTGCCTTTTGTTAACTGTGGAGGATCACAAATGGTATCATTGTATAGTGAAACCACAAATAGAGACTAAATAAAGACTATTCACTTACCAAATACAATTCTATTCAACTGCAGGTAACACTTTTCTATCATCGGTTCACATGCCAGCAATAAAAGTGTACAAGGAAATGGCTTCAAGTTTTAATTTGAATTCCTTGGCAACAATAAACAAGAGTTGCATCGTGACAAATTGTATCGCAGTCTATCAGATGTGGAATCGCTTCGTCTGTACGTTTGACCGTATTGTTTGTATTCGCTTCAGCAATAAATGAAGTAAAAAAAAAGGTGTTGCTGTTTGGGGAGTTATGGGGTGTTGAAACACGAGTTTCCGTCCAAAGCGTGAATGGATAGATGACATTTTACCAGGACGGGAATGTACCTGCAGAATGTGTGTGTGTGTGAATATGTGTGTGTAAGTTTGCGTGTGTGCATGTGTGTGTGTAACAGAGCCCCAATGTGCAGCTGTCTAACAATAGACGGCCCAGCCATAGGTTGCTGCAGTCACATGAGTGTGAAGGACGCGACTATGTATCCTTGATGCTCAACCTGCTGGTCGACCTCAAGGAGCTGAAGTGTGTCGCTCGTTTCTGAGCTCCGTCTGCCTGAGTTACAGGTAACGACCCTCTTGTGTCAAAGCCGTGTTCAGCCGTGAATCTTGAACCTAATTGCTGTCTAGCAACTATTGAGTGGAGATTTGAATCGGATTTGAATTGTTCTGTTTTTAGTTGTGTTCCCTGCCTGCTAAAGTCACTAAATGTGAATAAACTGCTTGAACTAACGCGCTTATCACTGCGGTTGTGCTTAAATATTTTAATATATATCTATAAAAATATGTATAAAGTAGATAAGTATTTATTTTTATTCTGTGATACTTTATAGTATTCGTCTCCATTTAGGGGAAAATGTCCTTTTTATTTTACTAAACACCGACTGCTCTCAATATATCACAACATAGATGCAACATTTGTAGAGTAGTGACCTCAGCTGGAAAAAGTACATTTCCTTGCATAAATGGTTATAGAACAGCAATTAGATCTACAGCAGCATCGGAGTTACAACCTTTAGATTCTACTTATTAGCTTTCAAGTCTTTTTTGTTCTTCTGTCAATTTTGACTTAAAAGTAAAGTGTTTGTTTTGAACGCGCGACCTTAACTTGTAACAGAGTATCTCATTGTGGCATCGGTACCATTGCTCCATTAAAAGATCAGAATACTTTTTGCCACGACTGCCAAAGTGCCCGCAGATATTTGGGTCAGTGTGCGCCGTGTGAATGCTTGTCGTCTCATGCTGTGCCGCGTTGTTTAATGATCGGAAATATTCGTCAGTCTAAAAATAGGAAACATTTTGCAGAGCTCATCCATAACAGAATGTCTGATACAGAAGAGGTCGTGGAGGAGGAAGTTCTGTATGTACCCATTTTTATATTTTCTTGTCGTGATTAAAAGATATTTCATATTATTTGATAATGAGTTTATGATTTTGTTATTCTCATTCTTTTTTTTTTCAAGGGAGGAAGAAGGTGAGAATGAAGCACTTGTCCATGTTTGTATGTACTTTACTTTTACTTTCACTAATCATTTATGATTCCTGATCATCAGCACAAGAGGAGGTCACAGGTGAGACAAATGTTTTTCCTCTTTTCTTCTCATGCAGCAGGTTGTGACCAATTCTCACTTGCTTGTCAATGTCTTTCTTTCCCCAGATGAGTCGAAGCCCAAACCAAAGTAAGTGCCCGAGCTCCTCTGTAGTTTAGCAGTTAAACTCAGTAAACCCAAAGCAGATCCTACAGTAACAAACTGTCCACTTCCACAGGTTCATGACAAACATTACTGCCCCAAAGATCCCCGATGGTGACAAAGTGGATTTTGATGTGGGTCAACTTTATTAACCCCCCCCACCTCCCCCACCCAATATGACATTTCAGTGACGTAACCTGGCTGTCCTGACTCCTTTCTCTGCTCTCAGGACATCCACAGGAAGCGTCAGGAGAAGGATCTGTCTGAGCTGCAGTCTCTGATCGAGGCTCACTTCATCCAGAGGAAGAAAGAGGAGGAGGATCTCATCTCCCTCGTCAACAGAATCGTGAGTGCGTCGGCTCCAGGAGCGATGATTGTGTTTGTCCCAGATGACCGCAGAGCGCGTCTCGTCCCGCAGGAGAAGCGTCGCGCCGAGAGGGCCGAGCAGCAGAGGGTCCGGACGGAGAGGGAGAAGGAGAGGCAGGCCCAGGCTCGCGGTACGAGATCACACACACACACACACACAGACTCCTGCATCATCTCAGACTATGTCATCAGCTCCTCCACTAAGCAGTGGACCTGTGCGGCACACAGGACGAGAAGGAGCGCAAGGAGCAGGAGGAGCACCGCAAGAAGCAGGGCGATGACGCCAAGAAGAAGAAGGCCCTGTCAAACATGACCCAGCAGTACGGCGCTGGACATAAGGTCACTCAACGCACAACCGCCTTCAGCGTGTGAATCAGAAGCACCGAGAACAGGGACGCACTCAAAAGTGCTACACAGAGAGTAATAAGAGAGTAAAAAGTACATTTTTAATCCTTTAGGGCCACCAAACAAGTCGCTTCATTTTGATTAAGCGGCGACATGTGAGGAAAAACTCACTTGCAAAAAAACCTAGTGGAAGTAGAATTGGAAATGTGGAGTAACAAACCCACTGTGAAATAAAGTTTTTTGGGGGAGGACGGGTTGCTAAAACTGAGCATTTCAGACTCTAGTATATGAGAGCAGGTGAACAATAGTGTGATATTTGTGCATAAAAGCATGTTTACACGTGGAAACCAGAGACAAAGTTATGAACATAAAAACAAGAACATGTCTCCTTAAACCGGGAGGCGATTACTAACTTCAATGCAACGCCTCCCTTCCAGGACAGCGTCACTGAGCTGCTTTCTTTGAAGGATCAGACTGCTGAGTAGTAGTAGCAGTTACCCTCGTGTATACGTTTTATGATCTATGTGCGCGTGTCTGCGCTCTGACCACCAGAGTGATAACAGAAAAGGAGCAAAGAAACAAACGGAGAGGGAGAAGAAGAAGAAGATCCTGTCCGACCGCAGGAAGCCTCTGACCGTCGACCATCTGAACGAGGATAAGCTCAAGTAGGTGGTCTCACGTGATAAACCCTGAGGTCGACGGGATTTTATGGCTGTAAGACGTGACCCGGGCTCGTTTGTGTTTAGGGAGAAGGCCAACGAGCTGTGGCAGTGGCTGATGGGGCTGGAGGCCGAGAAGTTCGATCTGGCTGAAAAACTCAAAAGGCAGAAGTACGATGTGAGTCATCCTGCACAGACAATGGAAAGAAACCCACAATCCTAAAAGAGACGGCTCTCTGGTCTCTGGGTCGATGTTGTGTTTTAGTTTTAGAGTAAAAAGAGGAACCCTTTCTGCCATAACCCCCCCCCCCCCCTTCTAAACGACACCCCCTGCCCCTTTGTCACCTGACTCCAGTGAAACAATGAATGTTACAGGTGAGGGTTGAAAGGTCAACAGAGGCCTTTGCAGAACTCCTCTGCCGTGTGTGTGTTTTTGCAGATCAACCAGCTTCTTGCTCGAGTCCAGGACCACCAGAGGTAAGAACACAGCCCCCTTCCTAATTTCATCTCTTTACGTAACGTTTCGTAAGCCGTGAACCTTAAAACACAAACTATAGATTAGACACAAAACCATCTGGCATTGAACGGAATGATCCGGCACGCTTTGTTGAAGTGGTCAGATGTTTTGTGTTGCACCCTCAGAGCACGGTGAATTATTCTTGATTGCTTTAGCACAAATCGGAGCATGAAATGGACTCTTTCAAAAGGTGTAAAGGAAACAATCTTTAATATATTGGCAATGTCATTAACGTGACAAAGGTTCAAGCTTTGCTGAAATACATCTAGTTGTGTTCTAACAATATTTATCTGAACCAAACCTGGTTCTCACGTCAGAACAGCCGCTTGAGACGCAGAACGTGTGTGTGTGTGTGTGTGTGTGTGTGTGTGTGTGCCATCAATACAAAACGCAACCGGTTCGCTGCTGTTTTCATCTGCCGAGTGCAGAAGGATGACGACATGTTTCCTAAACCCACTGATTGCCCTGCTCTGAATTTGGCATTCGTCTTTTTCTGCATCCTTTCAGCGCCAAAGGACGCGGCAAGGGCAAGATGGGGGGGCGGCTGAGGTAAAGGAGCAGCCCGACGAGGAGAAAGCGGACCGCGACACCAGGGATTGGCCTTATTACCGGTGTATTCATTGTACTGTTGTGTTACATCTCCATTATCAGCATCGAAACAATAAATAAGTCATTACATCCAGTCTGCTGCCTCTTTTCAAACTATGCACAGCGTCTGTGTAACCAAGGGCAACGTACCGTATCACATGTTCATACAACAACTCATTCAATGTACTTAAAGCTCTAAATATGTGATGAGATTCTGTTGCAACATGTGAACAAAAGGGAGGAATTAGGCTCTGATGAATAATAGTTCCATGGCTGGTATTTAAACAGAAATATATATCTGCATTAAGTGCATTTCATTGGAAACAATCCGCAGTAGACATCATTTCGTCAACATCTAATAAGAGAATTGACCTTATAAAGAGAACGTTTTCATGTAGCAGTTGTCATTTCCAGCTTTAATTCAAATTTAAATTAAGAGCAGAGATTTCTCAGCAAGGCTCCACATAGTGGCGATGCACAACATTGTCTACTTATCGTTTCAGTTCAAAATACAATAACTAGGGCAAGAGCGTGTGTGATGCTGATGGGGAGGAGACGATATGAACTGCCCGTCGTTAAATCCAAGTCCTTACTGTACATTAAAACTATGTTACGATATCCACATATCCACACCAGTGCATTTTCAACTTGTTGGTCTCGGACGTCCGAGGATTTGGGAGTCGTAGCAGGAGAGCTTGGATGGTCCATGAGGGGCGAACGGAGCCTGCCATCGCCGAGGCGCCCTCACCACAGGTGGGTTTCTCGGATCTCTGCGATCACCTGGCTGGCTTTCTGCAACGCCTGCACAGGAACGAACAGCAACAAAAGCAGCTCTCCGTTACTGCTGTACCCTCTGGAGGAAACACAGATCTGGGAGGGACTGAAAGATATTTGCTGGATTTACGCTAAAAGCGATGCCCCACAAAGAGCACAGGCTAAAGCTTTAGCGAGCGCACGATGGACGCAGGATCACTCGCCGGGCCGCTTACCTTGAGCATGTCAGCGGCCTCGGTGCGCCTCTGAGCCATGTCCTCGGACTCCGTCAGCAGGTCGTCCAGCAGGCCCGCCTTGTACAACTGACCCACCAGCTCGCTCTGCAGGCAGTCCTTCACGTGGTTCACCAGGAAGTGCATCACTGCCTTCGGTACACTGGGGCCAAACAACGACAGAGGGTGAAAGGACAGTAGAGCTCATGAGAGCCTCAGAAATGTTAGTGTGGTGGGGAGAAAAAGAACAATAAATAAAATCAAGGTCACCTGTCCTGGATGTTTTTCCGTACAATAAGGAAGTAGGACTTGATGAGCCGCTCGATGACCTCGCAGTCCCTCTGCTCTCGAGCGGACAACCTTCTGGACACTGGCACAGGCTGAACAATGATGAAGAAAGCATTATTTTGATTACGAAAAGGATTACTAAACGGGATTTCAGTTTCTTCAATGCATTAAGTCGTAACAAGGATGTTGAGAACATTCGTTTTATGCGTTTGCCTACAACAGAAATTTCCCCTAAAGCCTGTGTATATCATTTATATCTCGCACATGATTCATTACATGAAGCCGTTTCTTAAAACTACAATACAGAAAGTGCACATGCTCCATCTTCCAAAGCTGTTGATGTGCACAAAAGCGGATTGCCCACCACGTCCAGCAGGTTGACAGCGTGGCCCCTTTGGGGGCTGGCAGGCTGTGGGTGCTGGAGCACGGCTCGGTCCCCAGCGGTGCCGTCCTCTCCCCTTTTCAACATGCCTCTCCAGGTCCCCGTCCCGCCGTCCGTCTGCTCCCCGCCGCTTTGAGGGCCCCCTGCTGCGGCCTACGGGGAGGAGAGAGCAGGTGTGATACATCACGAATACGCAAGTATCATTTTAACACACACACACACACAAAATGAATGCAATAAACAACTTTCAAAACAGTTTCTCGTAGCAGCATGCGACAGCCCTTCTTTGATTTCACTGCAAAGAAGTTATTCAAGAGTATTGTTCATTCTTCGAACTTAAAAAGATGAATGATAGAACTTTGGATGATATGAAGCTTTATACAAGAGATATTACACTACGATTTCCTCAGCAGTAGCAGAAAACTTTATTTAAAAAGGTGGATTTATTCCTGATAAGACTTTGGGGATTTTTACCTTCCAAGTACTTAATGTTTTTTTCTATATCACCCACTTGTACAAAGACTAACTGATGGTTTCTTAATTCCAAGTTAAAACAGCACATGCCAAATGACTATATTACTAGATCTTTATAAATCAATATCATATTAGTTGCGAGCAATCAGCATGCAGCAAACTGGGATAGATACACATAGTTAAAGAGTATACGTCAAAGGTCATTCTGATCAAGTTTATAAAAAAAAAAAGGTACAAACGGCCCCTCAAATCCCACTGCGTTATCATCAGGACACTAACGTCCCAAACGGGATCCAGGTACGGGGCAAAGAAAGAAATAAGGACGACAGTGAGGGGGTGGAGCGGGGCAAGTAAATGTGGGCAGGCAGTAAGCGAACGGGTCACACCTTGGTGGCCTCGGCCTCAAGGGCAAGAAGCTCAGTGGGAGAGAGAGACTGACCACCTGGGCCTTTAAGGGACTAGAGAAAGACAACATAGTGAGGGAAACAGCTACAGGCAGCAAGAAGGAAAGTCATTGTTTCTTCAGCGAACCTGGAGGGAATCTGTACGTGCAATAGTCGTGGGGCAATCTGTTAAAGCAAATGGCAAGAAGCCAGAACAAGGAGGTGAGCCATGAGGACTGAATGTACCTTGTCTCTGGGGACAGCCGAGGGCAGGTCTCTCATTCGGTTGCGTCTCTGCTCCTATGAAAGGTTGAAAAGTACTCTGTTAAATCGCTAAAAAACAGAAAACATTTAAAATAAGGATGTGTTGTTTTTTTTGTTTGTTTTTTTTAGTAATAAAAAAACATGTTCCTTTAGTGGTGCGTTAAAAAAAAAAGAAAAAAAGAATTCTCATTGAGAGCGGGCAGAGTGAATTAAAACTATTGCATTAAGCTGCAACAGCGAATACAAAAACGTTGACCAGAGACGCTTTAAGGATTAAACACATGATTAAATCGATGCGCGGCGTGAAGGTAGCAGTCTTACCTCTATGTTATTGTTCATGAGGCCACAGGCATCAGCAAAGTCAGGGTGCTTGGTGTTGATGTAGGCCAACTCAATGGCGACCAGGTTGTGAACCTGTAAGAGATGGACTAATCAGCACACGGCGGCCCGGAAACTTCCCTTAAAGTGCATTTCAGCGTGAGCAGGTACTGACCATTTCATTGGTGACTGGCAGTCTCTTTCTAAGTAAGGAGGTGACCACTTCTACGATGGCATCGTGGAGCTTTGGAAACCTCAGTAACTCCTGCAGAGATGAACAACGCTCGGAATTAGCATCTCTTTTCATATCAAATAGCCCCCCAGAACAGTGACGTGGTTTGTCCAGACTAGAAACACGGGATTCTACTTTCGTGGGCTTCGGTTCTGAATGCGTACGTCTGTTTTCTCACCTGTGTGCTGTAGTTGCTGCAGTGCTGGATGATCCTCTGCATCTCCTCGTGAACCAGCTCCACGCAGCGCAGACTGGGCTCCTCCAGCCGCTTCACCTGCCGCTTCACCAGCAACTCAAAGGAAACCTCGGGCACGAATAAAGCCGGCCTCGGGCCCTGTGACACACAGAGAGCCTGTAAGTCTTCAGAAAACACAGAGCGCAAATTTAACACAGGAAGTCGACCCCCACCGTCGCATTTCGGATCGCCGTGAGCACGTCGATGGTCGTCAGGCCACCCAGGGGGTCGACCGACTCCAGCGTGCGACCAAACGTTTCATGGAATATATAGCAGATCCTCGCTCCCCCACATCTGAAAACAGGAGACAGAAGCCCAAGTTCACCCTGAGGACTCAGGAAAGCATGGACGCTAGCGCCCCCCAGTGGTGCACGGAAGGAGAGTTATGAAACGCACAGCTCGGTGGTCTCGATGTACTTGGCCGTGCCCTCTATGGTGTGGCAGTACTCTGCGGCAAACTTGGTGATGAGCTGCAGCAGCGTGGAGCTCTTGTCATCGACAGGTTCGCCGTAACTGTTGAGTAACGACTGGTACTGAGCGGCCAGCACGTTGATCCTCGTCTTCAGCTCAGGGAGACAGTCTCTGATGTGGTGCATGAGTAACCTTTGAGGAGAAGAAAAGAAAAAGATTAGTTTACGTTGTGATTTGGAAATGAAGACTGAGATGAAGTGCCACTTTGCCGGAGAGGGTGGAACGTGCACGGTTGAAAACCCAGATGAATTCCAGCTCCGTACCTGTTCAAAGTTCTGGCCAGATATTTGGTTCCATTTCGGTTTGCAAGTGAAGGGTACTTCTTCTGTAGGAAACCATATTCATCGCGGATGGCATCAGACACCATCTTCTTTTGATTGATATCCAACTGACTCCTGAGAAAATGTTAGGAAAACATTTGACTAGAAAGTATATTTAAGAGAGTTAAGCAGACTAAATGGGAAATAAAGACATTGTATAGAGTGATGTTTTTTAAATCATAATTAACAGAGTTTGTTGGTAGTCCCTCCTTACTGAAGTAACTAACCAGTTTACCTGTTAACGACTCCAATAATACCCAGTTTGACAGGAATGACTCTGCCCATCAACACGTCCATGGCATCGGTGCCAGCATCCATCAGATCCAGCTTGGTCACCACCGCTAGTGTCCTCCGGCCTGAAGACAAAGACATTATAAACGCCACCGAGGCAGGAAATGCAAAACAGCACATGACATCCAAAGTATGTTTCCGGATAGCTTCCTATTTTACAATCTGTACAGCATACAAAATACTCCATCCTGACACTCTTGATTGTGATAAGAATAGAGGAAGGTGAGGGATGACTCAACAAGAACGCCATGTACCATCGGGGTCGGCCTCGCGGGCTACTTTAAGGGCCTCTGAGGTCGCCATGTCTGTATTGGCAGCAGTCACAGCCAGGATGATGGAGTTGGGGTTGGAGATGTACTTGTAGATCAATTCTTTGATTTGGAGCTCTATGTCTTTGGGCTGGTCTCCCACCGGCACCTGTTTTAGCAAAGACACACACATTTCTCCTCA